ATAGAAAACTGATGGTGAAACTCTAGATTTGAAAAGCCCGACAGATCTACGTCACACTAGCTATGTTTCCATGCACCATATTTCCCCTATCCAATTCGAATCTTGGTTAATCTGAAATCCCAAATCTCTGTTTACATGTACACCAAGTGAAATGATCCAATCATGCTGTGAGTATACATGCATTCAAGCATTCAGTCATATTAATTTGAGCATGCCCAGAGTTGTCTTACCCACAAAAAAATGGTAAACAAACACCATCTCGTCTGCATGTCTTTTACCTCACATTTTATTTTCTTATTCTTTAGCTTTCATTGACTTACGTTTTTTCCTCCACACTATAGATAACTTCTGTTTACCTCCCTCCATGTTTTCGACTTGCCCTGAGCGTCTGCAGAGGCAGAAAGACGTCACACTGAAGTTGCAGTGGGCATTATTTTACTCCAACAATTTGAATGGGTGTGTACATGGACATCAATCAGAACGATGATCAGACAAAGCCACCTCTCTGTATCGGAATGGAACTTCATCCCGATCAGGCGCTATGAGATGTACATGAAGAATTTTTGATCTGATAGGACATTCATTCAGATTATTTGTGCCCATGTTAATGTAACTACTGCCACTGAACAATCATGGACTCATCCATCTTGACGGGGAAGGATGTTGTTGGTTTAGCGTCCAGGAGAGAGTAGAGAATGACTACTAGAAGCTAATGTTAGCATTAGCAACACCACCACACAGAAAAACTCATTCAGGCTTGTGTTATTTGTGGAGATAAACCATCAACATTATAAAGCAATCTTTGTCAGTGGTAGAGTTGTTATCCAATCTGAAGCAAGATGTCCAAATATCAAGAAAAAGACTCCAAATCCTTTCGTGTTGTTAGTCACTGTCTGCAGCAGCAGACTTGTCCATATAGATCCAAGATTTTCAGGACTTTTTTGCCCTGAGTACGGCTTGAAAGGCATTTCTTCCTACTAAAGACCACTGCGAATGTATTGATTTGTAACAAGTTTCCCACACCTTTAACCCATGACTTGTTTCAATTTTAACTGTTAAAAAAATTATTCAGCAAAATTTACTTGTTAATATTTTGGGTAACACTTTAGATTAGGGAACACAAATTAACCATAAATTAGCTGCCAATTAATATGCATATTAGTGGACTGCCAAGTCTGAACTAGTCATTATTAAGTACTTATTAAGAGCTTATTACTAATGCCGTAATTCCAACATGAACAAGCCATAAATTGAGTTTTATCAAAATAAGTCCTTCATAATGTTTTGTTGCTGATTAATGCACATACTAATTAGATCAAATCAATATGTGTTTTTTAAAGAAGAAATTCAGGGGTAACATATTCTTGCCTTTAGTGGTTAATTAATACAGAACTACTGGTAATTAGGTATGAGCAAAATCTGACTTTAGAATGTGGAACATATTCTTGCATACAAGTGGTTAATTGATTGTTGTTTAGGCTCTATTAACATGTGGATTTTGGTGTTTATTTATGTAATACCAGAACATAATATTTTTGGTTATTAACTATTCCCCTTGAATTACTTCTTTAAAAGCCACACATTGATTAGAGCTAATTAGTATGTGTGTTAATCAGCAACAAACCATTATGAATGGTTTATTATGATAAAACTCTTAATTTATGGCCTGTTAATATTAGAATTACAGCTTTGGTAGTAAGCACCGAATAATAGCTTAATAATGATTAATTCAGACTTAGTAGTCCACTAATACGCATATTAATTGGCAGCTAATTAATGGTTAATTTGTGTTTCCTAAACACTTTAGTGTGACCATATTTTCTATTGTAACTGGTGTCCCTGTTGCTTCAGAAATCTGTTTTTGGAGTCAGAAAGTGATAGACATGTGCATGATGCATAAAATGAAAGCACATAACAGACACCTTGAACCATGACTGAGACACTTGCCGACAAATCTGCAACATTGGCTCAACACTCTTGCAGTTTATTTCCATTTATGTCATGGATGTGTACACAACACATGGCAAAACTTTCAAACATACCAACTCATTTTTGAGCAAAGCTCCACATTTGTTTGTGTTTTTCCACTAAAAACCCTGGACCAATAAGAAGTCACTTTGCTGTGATGTGATAAAAAGCTCTTGGAAAACAGTTGGAATTGTCTCATTGACAAATGTTTTTGCATTTTCATGTTATTTCCACTTACCTTTCCTTTTAACTCTAATCTCTCATTTAGCCAACTTTGCTTTCCACTCAGTGCTAAAATAAAACACAGCTGATGTTTGCATATCTTTCCATTTCCTGGTCAGCGACTCAGGAGATTCTTTCACCACTTTTGCTCCTGCCGTCACACGTCAGCCCCTTAGTTTGGTCGGCAGACAAAGATTTTATTTTGAATTCTTTTTTTTTTTTTTTTTGAAATCCACAAAGCTCTACTTTCTGCTTCTTATTTCTGGAGCTATAAATACACACACCCTTGCCAAAATCTAACTGGTGTCTCTTCATCATAAAGATAATTACGGGGTCAATTTTTTTCTCACCAATGACTGAGGCAAGTGCACAGAGACAGTGTCCTGGATTAACCCATTCTTACCAGGATCAAACACAGAACTTCTTTATTCTTCATTATATTTGTTTATTTTTACTTTTTCTTTTTTTTGTGAAATGTGTCTTTGGGAAAGAGTTCATAGACTACGACCCTTCTGATATAAATTACAAAACAGAAATGATGACATACATTGTATTGTACGTGATAAAACACTAGCTAGCGCTGGTTAGAGTTTGTTTATCTATTTACCAGCTGTGTATGACTCATCTTTGCTTGTCATGTAGAATCTTCTGGTGCTGATCTGTAACTGGCAACATCCATGAAACTCACAAAACAGGAGTGACAAAGTGATTGCAGTAACCACAATTTACCACAGGATGTCATTTTTATTACATATTATACCTTTAATAATCTCCAGTGTAAAAGCCATCATACATGGATGCTTTTTAACAGTATTCTTTATGATTCAGTGCAGTCCCTGAACACATCCTGTGTACAAATGGAGCAACTGCAGTCAATAATGACACACAAACAATGTCACATGATGACTGGAGAGTAGCGTGACTCAGAGGTCACTCTTAATGACTCATTTCATACAAAAACACAATTTATCTGCAGCCCTTCTTTCTTCATTTTTTAGTTTTAGTCATTAAAAGCATCACTGAACTTGTTTTTATGCCTGAAATTTGTACATTCTCCCACTGCTTTCATTTTCAGCTGCAGCAGAATGCTTCTATGTCACTCATGCTTCATCACCTGCTGAGCAGTGTTGGCCACTTCCTCTGAAATGGTGGTGCATTTAGCAGTTAAAAGCAAGTTGACAAAAATCTAAAAAGCACAATAAATGAATCGTGATCAGGTTTTTGTTGTAGTTTGGTGAGAAATTCTTGTATCACAGAACAGGGAAATGACCAAGCTAATTGAGCAAAACTCACATAGAAGACTTTCATATCTGTTCAGAAAGCATAAACCTTTGATCTGTGACTATAGTTGGAGACACAAACTTACAAGAAAACATACAATTTTTTTGTTAAAATTAGTTCCCCTCTGGCTCCTCACACATAAGCAGTTCCTTATCGCCCACACACAGGGACGTGTCTAGTTTTTATTTTTGGGTGGCACGGTAGGGGCACAAATGTGAACAAGGGTGGCACATGTAAACGGCCCATAACCTTGAACAGAGATTTATGCTTTTAAACAAAACTAAAAGTGTTAATCACAATCAAAATCTAACTTCCTACTACTAAAATATAGTCAACGCACAAAACCAATGGTGCCATTTTATTAATAATTATGCATGAAAAATAAATGTATGTATTAAAATTGGAATCTTATAAAAAAATGAGCTTCAAAACCCAAAAATACCAATGAAGTACACGTTTGCCTCCCTTTTATCATTCTTTCAGAGTCATGGAAACTGAGACTGTTGTAAGAAGATTCTCAGAGTAGTTGAGCAAATGTCTTTTTCTAGTTTTATCTGGTTTTTATAGTGTAATGTGGTAGCACTTCTGCAACATTTGTGCAATTTTGAGCCAAATTTCACTTGGAGCTCATGAGACCCTCACATATAACTGAAGAGGACAGATTCTGCAAAAGTCATGCTTTGCTTATGTTTGTGCTGTCATGTGGGTCTCTCCTGCTTCCATAAACACTACAAACATGAAACGCCTTTTCCATCCATTTTCTGTCCATGTTTAGTTTTAGGAGTGATGTGCCTAAAACAAGCTGTATCAAAAAGTCCCCATTTGTGACATCGCAAATGGAAACGTAGAACAGAACCACCTCTCATGTGCAGCAGAGAGTTGCAGCTGGAGGAGCATTGACTCTACTCTGAGCCCCTCCCAGATATCAGAGCTTCCAGCTCATAGCAGCCTGAGCGGGGATGGGTGGGTGTGGCCAGCTCCAGCTTGTTTCCTTACAGTGACAGAGCCGTGAAACGACTGAAAGATACTAAAAATTTCAAAATATTTGAAAAGTAAAACTGCTGAAATTGCTTTAAGTGAGAGGGATTTAGTGCCCGCACCCGCACCCACTATTAAAACCTCGGAAACTCTGAATGTGTCACCGAGCAAATACTGTTCAGATCGTCTCATTTATTGTTTTTTCTCCCAACTTTTGACATTTTTTCCTTTTTGAAATAAATTGTTCAAACCTTAGTAGCTTGTTCAAACATCAGCTGGCTCCGGACTCTCATTGGTTCTTCTGTCATCCAGTCCCGCCTGTTTTATTTGCTGATTGGTTCTTTTGTCCATTCCTCCCATCTTTCTTGTTGACTGGATTTTCTTTACTATCAATTTTTGTTCTCAACTTTTATTCCTCAACAAAAATGTCCTTATATAGAAGTATTCTTTTCAGTTTATTTTTGTTTTCATCCAAGATATAAAGTTATTAATTGAGATCAATTGTTGATTTGTTTCTTATTAATTTCTAATTGAAAGCTCTCTTCATCCAGGCAGGCCTGATCAGGACTGATAACGGCGAGTTCTTCATCGAACCCCTTGAGAAGGGACAACAGGATGCTGAAGTGAAGGGGAGAGTACACGTGGTTTACCGCAGATCGGCCATTAAGCGAGAGAAAGGCCAGCGGAAAGAGGACTTCCACAACGAAGGTACAAAGCACATGGAGAACATGCAGGTTTGAGTTCTGCGATTGTTTGACCAGTGCTCACATGAGGGACTCCATGTCTGTTGCACAAGACAAAAGGTCACAGAACATTTGGAGTGACCTTACTTAGGGCTCCAGCATATGAAGCCTAATAAATGACAAATTGCAAATAGCTGTTGTTCAGTTTGATGCCTGCAATGATGGGTTTTATATGTTGCAAACATCCTTCCTTATTCTACCCCTACTGTTCAGGGTTTGAGGGAGTTGGTGCTGATCTCCACAGGGCAAGAGGCAGGATTACACTTGGACACTCTCCCTCTAGGGGCAAACCTTGAGCCCCCTGAAATGAATAGGGAGAAAGTGCATGACCTGATGAAGCCATGTCATGCTCTAAAGGTTTTGCTTTAGGATCACATTCCTGTCTCATTAATAGTGCTGCAGCTGGGTGATGTCACACCCTTCTTCTGCAATCTACAATCGTATGTCCCAGCTGGCAGATCCCTTCCAAACTATCTTCAGAAATGTTCTAGTTTAGACCTACTATTGAATCGATCGTGCATGTTTTTAGTTTGTAGGAGGAAACTGGATTAGCTGGAGATAACTCGTGCAAGCATGAAAACGTGTAATGGACCTTTTGCTGAAACTAAAGCAGCAGTGATACCAGCTGTGAAGCTTTTTACTCAATTCTGTGATGTTTGATGAAGTTATTCGTTTCAGTTTGCTGGTGTGTGATCATGTTAATGCTTGGGTTTTATTTCACTGCTCTTTGCTGCTTTCTCTGCACCAGATAACATAAACAGCTTCAGTCATAAGAGTTACAACATGCAAATGAAACAAGCACTGATTGATTACTTGATATTTGCTGATTCAACTCAACAAAATATAGTCAACAGTCACCAATGCAGAGGCACAGGGGAACGGGGGAAGGGCTTTTCTTTTAACTGAGCTCTTCTCCATGATTTGTTTCATCGTCTGTCAACGGAGTAAGGCTCTGCTGGAAGCTTTCTGCTGTGTAACCCATTTCCTACATCCTAAAGCTGTAAAAATGGTTCTATTTTCATGCAGCTACTTACCTAAAACCTGCATATGATCAACTGTAAATGAACTGTTTCAGTATCATAAAACACTTTTTTGGTCTGTGACTAAAGACGAATTTCAGGACTAGAAAGCATTGTTTTAATTTATTTCAATCTACAAGTATAATCTTCACAAATACACAGTGATCATGAGTTGTACTGAGAATGGTAAATTTTCCTTGTTGAAAATTATTATTAGGAATTATTTTCATTTTTCTTTTGTATTTCTATCCATCCATCTTCATCCGCTTTTCCGGGGTCGGGTCCCGGGGACAGCAGCCTAAGCAGTGAGGCCCAGACTTCCCTATCCCCAGCCACTTGGGCCAGCTCCTCCGGGGTAATCCTAGTGTTCCCTGGCCAGCCGAGAGACATAGTCCCTCCAGTGTGTCACGGGTCTTCTTTTAGGTCTCCTCCCAGTTAGACGTACCCAAAAAACCTCACTAGGGAGGCATCCAGGAGGCATCTTGACCAGAAGCCCGAGCCACCTCAACTGGCTCTTCTTGATGTGGAGGACTAGCGGATCTACTTTGAGCACCTCCAGGATTACCAAGCTTCTCACCCTATCTCTAAGGGAGAGCCCAGCCACCCTGCAGAGAAAACTAATTTCAGCCGCTCGTATCTGTGATCTCATGCTTTTGTTCACTACCCAAAGCTCGTGACCATAGGTGAGGGTAGGAGCGTAGATCCAGAGCTTTTCCTTCTGGCTCAGTTCTCTCTTCACCATGACGGATCGGTACAACACCCGCATCACTGCAGACGCAGCACCAGTCTGCCTGTCGAGCTCATGCTCCACCTTTTGCTCACCCGTGAACAAGGTCCCGAGATATTTAAATGTCTCCACTTGGGACAGGACCTCATCCCTGACCCGGAGAAGGCATTCTACCCTTTTCCAACTCAAGACCATGACCTTGAAATGAAGCGTGGAACCTGGAGGGGACAGGATGTAGATTGAGACCTTGAGACCTTTAGAACTTTTGAGAGCATGTCACCCCCCCCCCCCCCCCCCCCCCAAAAAAAAGCATTGCTGGAGCATTTAAGCAAATGAAGGCATTCTACCCTTTTCCAATTCAAGACCATGGTCTTGCATTTAGGAGCTGAGTCTCATCCCAGCTGCTTCACGGCTGCGAACCGCTCCAGCAAAAGCCAGAGATCACGTTCTGATGAAGTCAGCAGCACCACATAAAAGCAGAGGCTCAGGTCTCCTTTTGTATATTTCGCTATCAAACAGGCTAAATGATAAATGACCCACACTTGTATAGCACCTTTCAGAGTCGAGGACTCCAAAGTGCTTTACACTACAGTGTATCATTCATTCATTCATTCGCACACACATTCACACACTGTTGATGATGAAGTACAATGTAGCCACAGCTGCCCTGGGGTGCACTGACAGAGGCGAGGCTGCAAGGTGGGTTGTGTCTTGCCCAAGGACACAACAGCAGAGTTCTCTGTCTGGAGCCGGGATCAAACCTGCAACCTTCCGATTACTGCTGCCCCTAAAATAGTAAATACTGTCATGACTCCCATCCTTCACCCTCCTCCACTTCCTCATTATACCTTCATTTAGCTCACCTGGTTCCTCTCACCAAGCTCCAGCCAAGCCCTGCTTTCCCCAGCAACCTCTGTCAGCTTCAATCAGCTCCATTCATTCCACCTGCTCCTGTAATCAGCCTCATCCCATTCACCTGCTTCCCCTGCTATAAAAGAACCAGCCATCCAGTCAACTGGTGCCAGATTATTACAGCCTTGTCAGTAGTTCTTCAGCCATCCACCCTGCCTGATCTTTGCCTCTGGACCTTGTTTTTTTTGCCTGACCCCTGCCTTGCTTTCTGCCTGCCACCTTGACCTTAGCCTGCCTCTGAACCTGCCTCAGCCTTGCCCTCCAGGTACCTCTGCATTAAATAAAGACTTTTTATATATTTTTACTGTGTTGGCGTCTTCACGGGTCTTCTGAGTTCAGTTCTTGACAAAATACAGCCTATTATCAACTCTGGTGTTTTATTATTTGCTAAACAAATTAAACCACTGCATCATTTCAGATCGTCAACATTTTAGGTATAAAAATCTGAACATTTATTGTGGTTGCATTACTCCTGTCAGTGACAACTGCAGACAATTTGCAAAAGTTACTTTAGTTATTATACTGCATCATGACTGTAAGAGGTCTCATCTATCTTGTACAAATGCACATATGCATTATTTCTTTAGGAAAAAGATGCACTTTTCAAGTCCGGGTGTCTGAGTGTGTTAATAAGAAATCAAACACTTTGACAATCGAGTCAGACTCAAAGGATTCCACCTACCTTGCCTTCTCTTTCAGAGGCAGAGTGTGGTTTCACACCAGATCAGATTAATCAGTGGGGACATACAGATGTGGGAGTTTCCAGCTGTCTGTTGACTGATTTGTTAATGTCCTACTTGTGTCTCACAGTAGCAGATGTTGGAATCGCAGACCTCACGGCTGCTCTGGATCTCATCGAACACAAACTTTCAGAGTCTGAACGTAAGAGGAGACACGCCAAGAAAGACAACTACAACATTGAAGTGCTGCTGGCTGTGGACGACTCGGTGGTGCGCTTTCATGGAAAGGAGCATGTGCAAAATTATGTCCTCACCCTAATGAACATCGTAAGTCCACCTTTAGATAAATATCTTCTAAAGATCTCTCCACCTTATTGTGCAGATCCATGAAGTGCAGAGTCAAAGTCAAAGTCAGTTTTATTGTCAATTCTACCACATGTGCAAGACATACAGAGAGCTGAAATTGAGTTTCAGTACACACAATTCAGAGATCAGACATACATGGGCAAGACACATGGCAAGAATTGGTGACTGTGGTCCTTCGCAACACGAGTCGCGCTACCTTAATAGATGAAAAGGGAATTACATGAGGATAAATTGGGGGAGGGAAAAAAGGCATACCAGAGTTACTCCCGGCAGGGCGTAGCTCTACTATGCAAAAAAAAAACAAAAAAAAAAAAAAAACGCCTCTAACATATAAGCGCGAACATCACAGTTCACACCATGAGACACCGATAGGGAGGCGGGGGGGGGGGGGGGGGGGGGGGGGGGGCTGGGATCCTGTTTCCCCAGTGGGAGCAGCCCTGTGTGGCACACAGCCAACTGTATCCACAGGTGGGAGGGAGATATTGGGAGGAGCGCAGAGCACATTGAGGTCCTGCAGGTTGATGACCTCGCTAGGCAGAAGTCCACAATCTGAAGGCGGGGGGGTAGGTCGGGTTCTCACAGCATCTGTCTGCATTCCTTCCTTCATGGGGGTTGTTGTTAGCAGCTCAAGGCTGCCTTGGCGTCAGATTTGGATAACAAGACTTTGTTTGGGTCAGGCAGAGATAATTTTCCTCTCTGCCTTGAAGTCTGTATTGATCATTCAAGTCCTCCAGTGAAGCCAATTTAGGTTCTAATCATCCCCACACCATCCGGTGACCCTCACTGAGATGACGTCCATTTTGCGCACTAATACCGGTAACGCAGCAAGGACATTGTCCAGCTTACGATTCACCTCGAGTAACGTCCCAGTCTGTGAGGTCACCGCCCGGGCAGTGCTTTCCGTGGGTGCGGGTTGCACTCCAATCGCTCCCGTCTTCCCAAATTTCCAGAAAACCAGATATCCTCCCACTCCAATCAGAAGAAATCCAGTGATCATCAAGCCAAATATCCACATGTCTTCGACATCCTCAATGGACAACTGAGAGGCATACGACCCTCCAGACCTTCCAGGAATCGAGCGCATATCCCGCAGCGTGTGTCCCTTGAGGGCAAGTGGGAGCCCCCTCCTCCGTTCTCATCGTAGAAAAAATCTTATCAATCGCGTTGAATGACCAATTAATTAAATCCATTTCTAAAAAATAGGGATTTCCAGAAGAAATGCAGAGAAGCACTCTGTAGGCAGACAGGACAAAGAGCCTTGGGAAAAAAGATAAGGGAGCAAAAGCAGAAGCGACTGTACTCTGCGAGTGCCAGGCAGAAAAAAAAAGAGCTGCAACTAATGAGCTTTTAGCACAGTGTTTGGTGCATTAACTGTTGATAACAGTTAGAAATTATAAGAATTTTTAAAAGTCAAGTGTGGATCCTTAAAATATCAAAGAACAAGTCAAACAAATTTTTAAAGCACATTTAAAGTTGGAGCTACATCTTACTTTCTGTTAAGAGGCGAGCTGCTGCGCTTTGAACATAAATAAAACTGTAGTCTATAAAAGTTGAAGTTATAAAGTTTTGGAAGTCAATATCCTGAGAAAAAATACATAGACGCTGGCTTTTTTTACACCATAATTATTTATTCTGTTCACATTAAACATGTTTTATTCAAGAATTGCTTTTGATAATATTTTCCTTGTGAGATGTTTCACAATTCTAATGTTCTTTTTTTAATTTGGAACTTCGAAGCTTTCAAGCCCAATCTTAGTTCTCCTTTTTTGTTCATGACATAATTATTCGGTCCCGTTAATACTAATTAGGGGGAATTAAAAATGCACCTTGAACAAAAGCTCAGGTCAGAATGTTAACAGCAGCAGCCTGGTGAGATGTTAGCTTCAAAAATATTTAAACAGTAGGTTAACTGAAAAAAACATTTTTTATTCATATTTCTGTTTATATTCTGTTTTCCATGCAGGCTGAACATGAAAATAGTCTCCTACACTTATCTCCTGCAATTGTTTCTGATAGGAACTAGACGATGAAACTCTAGTATTTGAAAAGTCTGACAGATCTACGTCACATTGTCACTTAACATTCATGGACTCACCCATCTTGATCCATGACGGGGAAGGCTGTTGCTGGTTTAGCGTCCAGGAAACAGCACGTCTTGGCTAGTACAAGCTAACCGTTAGCATTAGCAACTCCACCACACAACAGAACTTCTTCAGGCTTGTTATTTGTGGGGATAAAACATCAATTGCAGTTACAGAGAAAATGGAGCCAGTGGTAGAGTCATGTTTCTGTTAGCCAATCATAAGAGAGATGTCCAAATGTGGGGAAATAAGACTCTAGATCCTGTCGTCTGAAGCTGCAGCTGACCTTTACGTCCTGAAACAGGCGCACTGGAGGTTTTTTCCCCAGAGTACGACTTACAAGGCATTCATCCTGCTAGAGACCACGGCACATGCATTAAAAATATGAGTTAAGTTGACCTTTCAAATCTTGAGTTTTGAGCCAATTGTTTCGTCTTTAAGTTCAAGTCTGCACAAATTTCCTAAAGTCTTGGTTTTAACTGAAATGTTCTGAATCTATACAAAGACAGAAGAGCTGAATAATAAGAATATCAGACTAAAACATGATTAATTCATGCCTGCAGCTGTAATCAGGAGACAAAAACAGCAATCAGAGCTGTATTGTTTGTTTTTGTTACAGATAACAACATGATTTAACTTGAACAATGACCTGGGTATCAAAGAAAAACCCCACAAAGGCAAAATTAGTGTTCTAATTAATCATTGCAGCCTTACATAAACATGATTTCTGCAAAGTTTGGTAACATTTATTTGTAATTTGATCTTTTAGTGGATTGGCTGCACTATTTATTTATTTATTGATTTATTTTACTGCTGATGGATTACAGAGGGCTGCGCAGTGGCACAGTGGTTAGAGCTGTTGTCTTGCAGCAAGAAGGTCCTGGGTTTGCTTCCCGGCCTGAGATCTTTCTGCATGGAGTTTGCATGTTCTCCCTGTGCATGCGTGGGTTCTCTCCCGGTGCTCCGGCTTCCTCCCACAGTCCAAAAACATGACTGTTAGGTTGATTGGTCTGTCTAAATTGTCCTTAGGTGTGTGTGTGTGTGTGTGTGTGTGCATGATTGTTTGTCCTGTGTGTCTCTGTGTTGTCCTGCGATGGACTGGCTCTCTGTCCAGGGTGTACCCCGCCTAACTGCCCATTGACCGCTGGAGATACCCCCACCCCCACCCCCCACCCCACCCCCACCCCCCCCGGCAACACCACATGGACAAGTGGGTTCAGAAAATGCATGGATGGATGGATGGATAACAAAAGCAAAAAAAAAAAAAAATGCACAAAACGAAATAGTAAACTATATATATATATATATATATATATATATATATATATATATATATATATATATATATATATATATATATATAATCAGCTCATTCCTTATAGGTTCCACCAGCTCCCACCACCATAATCTACTTACTGGACCCAAATCCCTCAAGTCAGATTTTCACAGGGAGCTGGTTTCACTCTGTAACAGTTACCATTTGGAGCCTGCACGGCCACCTGATTAGCTGCATTAGACCACTTAGAAAGTTGAGTGGGAGCTGTGCATGGCAGCCATGGAAAACGGTGCCAGAAGCGTGTTTGCACTGCCAAGCTCTTCTTAGACAATGATGTGTTTATTTAATTAGATGTTTATATCCACAGTCTGCTCCCAAATGCCTTTAGCAGAGAGATTGTTAGTTTTATTCTGACCTTGACTGTGCTGTGACGTGGCTGTGAGAAACTCAGGAGTGTGATGCATTCTGATTACTTAAAGGTGTTTTAAAGTGCTGGCAGGGGGTAGTGGATTTGGAGAAATCAGTCAGGTACAGCTTAATGTGTTACACAATAAATAGAAACTGCTACTTCAAAGTTTTGTTCGTGTATTCCCATGAGTTTACAGGAAAAGTGCACATTTTAGCAGGAAGAATGATGCATTTTAAACAAATGAGGGTCAAACTCCTTTAACGCTCCACATAAGCCACAGGCTTGCTGTGTCTGAACGAGCTCTGCCCGCTCAAATCCCTTTGAATCCCTGCTGCGTGGCTGCAGAATGTGTAGTACCACCTGGAGAAACTCTCCCTGAGGGATTGATTACTGAACATCCTGTCTGCACAAAGCAAAGGTGACTGGTGAGATCTCTGCAGCACAATGGCTGCGTTGTTTGACCGGCACCCAGGTTTTGTCCGTGTCAATGTGATGCTGCACACAGGCCAGGGACACCTAGCGCCTGCAGACCACAGCTGCTAGTCTCATTTCCAGCCACAAAGTTAAATGTTTTAGTCCTCAGTGCTCCTCCTGGTTTAGTAATTATCCCAGGATGTGTTGGGGTTGGCCCATCCCTCAACTGGACGCACCAAAAAGTTTGGAATGCATGGATCTGAGTTCTGTAAGAAAAAACAACACCAAAATATTTACCGATGTCGTAATGAAACTTTTATGATGCTATTTTGGAAGCTGTCCACACCCTCTCATCTATGGACCAATAGAAAAACACGTATGTAGGTCAGTACTGACCCAGAAAGAAGACTGAGTTAGAAATCTGGGAGTGTGTTGTCACCCAGGGTTTCTCTAGCATTTATTTGCCTGACTGGTTCTCTGTACTCGAAGCATTTGTTTAAATGCTTTGGGCGTGACTGACCTTATGGACCAACGCCAGGACAGATTTCCTTTGGTGACAGAGATTTTCTCATGCAAAGTCATCATTTTTACCCACGAGAGTTATAATAACACAATGGCTGGTGTTCGGGGAGAAGAAAAACTTTAGCCTTTTGTTTTAATCTGTTTCACGAACAACTCACCAGTAAATGGTCTTCTTTGCATTTTTTTTTTTTACTTTGGGGTCATTGTGGCCATAAAATAACATACGGCCATAATGACACTGAAATAATAACAAGGTAAGGTGAGACTACCAAGCTACTGAGACCAAATAGTCAATCATGCATGTTGCACACTTTTATCTCAAGCGACTCACAGCTTAACCTAACAAGCATGGTTTGGTCTGCTGGAGGAAAGCCCAATGATGCATGAGGAGAGCATGCTAACTGGCATTCAAACGTCTAACCTTCTTCCTGCAAGCCACCATTGCTACTGGCTGCACCCCCATGCAGTTGATCACAACATAATATAACCCAATCACAACATTAGGAATTAAAAACCAACAAAAACAAGAACTCCAACAGCAGAAACGTTTCAGTTTTCATTAAAAGAGACACTATACGTTACTCTCCACTTATTTAGTTGGTGAGCATCCTGTTTCTCATCTTTTATGTAAGCAGTGGGGGCTGATAATAGCTGATCTGCTGCAGCAGTAATGGAATCGTTGGACCTCACCTCAGGCCTCAGTGACCTTAATTAGCCACACAACCATTTCTAGACAACAGCTGCATGCTGCCAGTAAACATTTTTAAAGTATTGAGTAAATTCATGTCATGTTCTTTATAATAGCCATTCAGATAGAAGAAACATGTGAAGATTATTAGCAGTTAAGACCAGAAAAGGAGAAACTAAGTCCCTAATAGTGTGACGACTAGAGGCAACATGTTTTTTGCATGCAAGCCTGAAGAGAAGTACACATTGCATTATCAATGCATTATTTGTAAAGTCTCCACCGTAAGTCTCCACTAACTATCATTTGTATCAAGTGAATGAATAAATCTAATATACAAGTTTCACCTTTTTAACATAATTACTGAAATAAATCCACTTTGTTATGATATTCTAATTTTATGACCAGCACCTGTAGTTAGGTCAAGCTGTGGGATGATTTTCACTCTTGTTTAATTTTTTTTTTAATAATCAGGAGATAATGGTTTTTTGTGTCACCAACTTAAAGCTAAATTTGAGAATCCTTTATTAAAACATTTCCCACGGGCCTTTTTAAAAGGCTAAGACCTGAAATTGTCAGTCACAGGTTCAAGTCATGTTAGGCACCCATCGCAGCATGAAAGTATTGGTCTTAAAATTTCTAACCATAATTTCCTACATTGTTGTATTTTATTGAGGCAGACAAATGAAATAATTTCAGTTTGCACCGGTACCAGACCCTTTGTTCTGTTTATCAGCAGCCCTTAATGCATTCTCATTTCAAAAATGGCCTTTTGTCAAAAGTCCTTGGTCAGAAATCCAAATGTGGAATGTTATCATCTGTGGTGACATGTGGGGCAGCTAATGCTAAATTTACAGTAACCAGCTGTGATTTTTAATTACATGTCAAAAACAACAAAACAGCTCTAATAGCACCTGCCATGGTGGCTCATAATGAATATCTTCATGTGCTGCACTCATGAAAAGTGTTCTTGTTGCTCTCTTAAACTGAAGCCTTTTATTTGACATACATTTTGGCAGCTTTTTTAAGTGATTGTAATTTTGTTGGAAGGAAGCATTATAGTTGAACTGCAACCCAGATTTGTCTCTCCTGGCTTATTTTACTTGAAGGATTTCTCAAGATCTGTGCTCAAACAGTTGTAATGTCAATGAAACATTTACTAAGCAGCCCAATTCTACAGAGGGCGAAGCATACGTACTGATAGCATGTATACATTTACTGCATATTCCACTCTTGAATAGTCTGAAACTTTTGCTCTTGCATAAACTTAGAGGAAATGAAATGCATTTTGATGTAACACGCTGATTTAACAGGACCTGTGAAAAGTGCCTGCCATGATAAACTCTTATTTTGAAAATCTTTCAGTTGGAAAAGATTTACGACTTCATTGACCTGAAGTAGCTTGTCAGTGTTTTATTTCTAGTAAAAACTTACAAATAATGAGCCAGATTATAATGACTTATGTTCATGTGTTGCAGTGAATTATTGGGTAAGCTTGTAAAACTTTCAGCTGATCACGGGCAGGCAGCCCACTGGCACTAAAAGGAAGAAATATGACCATGCTTGGTGAATTTAAATTAACTTCTGTTTATTGCTATTCTAAACTTCTTTGACTCTAAACGTATTATTAATGAGGCTAAATATGAGTTCTCCCAAGTCTCTCATGAATTCCATAATCAGACCAAAGCAGCAGAAAACTGGTTTCAAGTGGCTCCAAATGAGCGCCAACATCCAGTTAACAGTTTATAAAAAGAGTCATACTCAATTGGAGGCAGAACTCAGGATATGAATGAAACCCTAGCTTGGCCTGTGGTTTTAAATAAAACTGTGACAGTCTTTGAGACTAAATTGGTTTTCTTGAAGAGTCAATTCACAAAGAATTTGGTATTTTGGTTACGTGTTTCGTATTTCTAATAAATGGTGGAAAAAATATCTAGAAAAGTTTCTGTTGAATCGCTTTACCACCTCACTTGTGTTGTTTGGTGACATCTAGTGGCTTAAATGGTAAATCGCAACCAAGTCAACATCCAAAATGACGGTTGTTGTAGAAAATGCTAAAAATCAGTTCTGGAATCACTTTTTGGTTCATTTCTGAATCAGTATGCATGATTGTAGTCAAGGGTGGCAGAGAGATGAGAACCACCGACTGTGCTTTTTATTGCCCTTCTTCAAAAGGTTTCCGCTTGCATGTATATGTAAAATGTCTCATGAGCCACTTCACAGCTTTTGATGAAATTTTCAGAATGGTAGCGTTGGATGTAAATCTGCAGCTGGTTAACTTTTAGTGCCAACTCCATTCAAGATGGCTGCTGTAGTGAATCAGCACATAAGAAAAAAGTCTTTGAAATTTGATCAAAACTAAATTAGTTTCTTTAAAAGCAGCAAAAGTGAAAGGCAAGATGCATTTTAACAATTTAATTGACTATTTATAATTTTGTTATTTTTCATGTTTTATTCTTCATCTGCATGCCTCTGATAAATGAAGCCAAAATTAGAGATTTGAATTATTGTTTGAATCCATTTAGCAAATGATGTCATGGAAACTGGAGACAAAACCAGTGATCTCTGCTGTTGTTTACTAAAGTCTGTTTAAAATCATGCCCACACAAATTTTAGGTTTTCATCTTGATTAGCAACAGTTTACTTCCCCTCCTACAGACAGTAACTCTCATGAGCTCAGTCATGTGTTCTGCTCAGTGTCAGAATCCTGGTGATAACATTCAAGAAAATACCCAAGGGCACTTGCGTGAATTTCAGTTCAGATTTTTAATTAATACAAACTTTTTTTGCCTTTCTTTTAGGTTGATGAAATCTACCACGATGAGTCTTTGGGAACTGATATCAACATTGTCCTTGTCCGGATGATAATGGTTGGGTATCGGCAGGTGAGCTGTGAAAACACTGCTGTCAGTCTTTTAATGTGTACATATTTTTTTCCACTTCAGTGAGTTTAAACAAGCTAATTAAGGGTAATTGGTAATTCTAATTAAATTCCAATTAGAAGACTTTCCACCAGCTCTTTACCACAACTGACATTAACTTTGAAAAAGAAATATATAAATAAAAAAATCATTCAGGCTTTGTACATTTGTTCTATTTACGAAGACATTAGCAGATCAGTGCATTTTGTTTCTGTCAACATTTTGCAAACACTTTTTTTTCTTAGGCAGAAATTCAGTTCAGGAGTCGTTAAACACTTTCATTATGTGCCATGAAACAGAACTGTGATTTGAATCCTACTGTTGCTGCCCAGAAACTATTTTACGTTGCCTTCAGTTTTGATTGGACTCAAAACAAGGCAGACAGACTGAGCTCCAGCATGAAATCTGCAGAAAGAAAGAAAAGAAAATGATGAAATGGAAACTCCAGACAGTCATCCTCCACCAAAACCCCTTCAGAGCCTAGAGTCATCCTGTGTCATTTTGGAACAAGACTCTAAGCAAACAAAAAGCAATCAGTGTTGTTTTTGTTTTTGTCCTCAAATATAAAGTGTTCATCACTGCGGAGCACGGCACACCCTGAGCAGGTTTTCCTTTGGAGCCTCGTATACCAACACCATTCTTAGGCTAGACTTTGTAACATACCCACTATCATTAGAGTCTATTGTAATAAGTTTACATTGTACCAGTGTTATTACGGCTTTTGATTTTAACCTTAAACAAGTAGCAAACCAACAAAACTATCCATCCATCCATCCATCCATGAGGTCGGGTCGTGATGGCAGCAGCCTAAGCAGGGAGGCCCAGACTTCCCTCTCCCCAGCCACTTGGGCCAGCTCCTCTGGAGGAATCCCAAGCCGTTGCCTGGCCAGCCGAGAGACATACTCCCTCCAGCATGTCCTGGGTCTACCTTTAGGTCTCCTCCCGGTTGGACGTGCACAGAAAACCTCACCAGGGAGACGTTCAGAAGGCATCCTAACCAGATGCCCGAGCCACCTCAACTGGAACCTCTCAATAAGGAGGAGCAGCAGATCTACTCCAAGCCCCTCCCGGATGAGCGAGCTTCTCACCCTATCTCTAAGGGAGAGCCCAGCCAGCCTGCAGAGAAAACTCACTTTAGCCGCTTGTATCCACAATCTCGCTCTTTCGGTCTCTACCCAAAGCTTGTGACCATAGGTGAGGGTAGGAATGTAGATCAACCGGTAAATCGAGAGCTTTGCCTTCCGGCCCAGCTCTCTCTTCACCACGACATATCAATACAACGTCCGCATCACTGCAGATGCAGCACCAATCCACCTATCGATCTCATGCTCCATCTTTCCCTCACTCATAAACAAGACCCCAAGATACTTAAACTCTTTCATTTAAGGCAGGACCTCATCCCTGACCCGGAGAAGGCTTTCTACCCTTTTCCGACTCAAGACCATGACCTTGAAATGATATGTGGAACCTGGAAGGGACTGAATGATGTAAGACCTTTAGACTTTTCAGAAGCATGATTTTATGTTTGGGAGGGCGAATCCCCCTCCTCCGAGCATTGCTGGAGCATTTTAATCAAATGGAAAGGAGGCAGTTGCTTGGTGTCAGATGGCACCAAGCTTAAACTTCACCTCTTCAATCCTAGAGAACTTGAGGTGCCAACATGAATCTGAGACCATTCTGAATTTTGTATACACAAGTTTGCTTCCTGTTTCATCAGGAGGGTCTCACCCCCTCCGGTGAACACCTGTTAAGGACTTTCGAACTTTGACCCTTGGATAAAAGCCTGTACACAAACCTGAGACCGCTATGCAAAAGACCATGCATTTAGAGGAGATGATTCTCATCCCAGCTGCTTCACAGTCGGCTGCAAACCACCCTGACGAAAGCTGGAGATCACGGTCTGATGAAGCCAACAGGACCACATCTGCTGAAGGCAGAGACCTGATCCTCAGGCCACCAAAGTGGATCCCCTCAACACCTTGGCTGCACCTAGAAATCCTGTCCATAAAAGTTATGAACAGAATCAGTGACAAAGGGCAGCCTTAGGGCAGCAGCTCTGAAACATCATGAGTTTTTTATGAACTCTGTGTCACGATGAAGGGTTTGGAGGAGATTAGAACCCAAAATGCAGGAACCCCAGATGACATGAGGCAGTAGTTGATATAAAGAAATAATCAGTTTATTTGTAGGATGAAACAAAATATAAATCCAAATAGCAGCGAGCCGATAAATCCAAAAATCCTGAGTTCCAGGACACCGAAAAAAACTCCAATGGAGCATAAAAACCTGAGACTTTGAACCAAAAGCTCACCTAGAGCACAAAGTCTGGGGACGAGACAAAAACTCACTTTGAGCACTAAAACAATGCTGACAAACAACAAACAACAATGGGCCGACAAGACACTGAGACAAGACAGGGCTTAAATACACTGGGGCATAATGGGAGGATGATGAGCTGCAGGTGTGAGGGGGAGAACCAGGTGAAAGTGATAACTAATCAGGGAGGGGGAGCAGGAGAGGACGCCAGACCTAACTGGGAAAGGACACACACACACACACACACACACACACACACACACACACACACACACACACACACACACACACACACACACACACACACACACACACACACACACACACACACACACACACACACACACACACACACACAAAACTGGAATAATAGAACTATGGAAATAATGGTGGGGAGACTGAAGGAACACAGGACCTGGGAGGGAATATCTGGAGGGCTGAAGACCAGGGGACACAAGAGGAACACAAAGAGACCCAGACACAGACCATGACACTCTGGTAGCATTTGTCAGGTGAAAAGTGAATCTCTATTTTTGGCCAAGCTGCCATTTCTTTTCTACAGCATGACCTAAGAATGATCTAATCCTCTTATAAATTTCAAAGCAAAAGGATGTGCATGCAATTGACCCAAAGATGAAATGTCAAGGAGTCTTCTTTCATACAAATAGGGCTGATAGAAAAAGATAAGCAGTAAAATCTTAACAGTTTGCCTAAAATCATCTTTTTCTTCCTCACTGTGCAGTCTATAAGCCTGATCGAGCGTGGCAACCCATCTCGCAGCCTGGAGCAGGTGTGCCGATGGGCCAACACGCAGCAACGACGTGACCCAGACCATGCCGAATATCACGACCACGCCATCTACCTCACAAGGCAAGATTTTGGTCCTGCAGGTATGCAAGGTACTGTATTTAATCTCGATCGAGGCCTGTGCAGACTGAGTGCTGATTTCTGCTTCAATTCATACAAACGGGGTTGGCTTCAAGTCTTGCCCAGGTAAGGTCCATGGAAAACTGAACGTATGAGCTGACGACGGAAATCTGCTCTAGCGGGAAAAAAGGTTATTGCATTCCAAAACCTTGCTGACTTGATGTTGACGCCACCCTGGAAAATTGAAAGTTTGATAAGAATGAAGAAAAATTTTGGCATGTGGAGAAAAATCAGAAATGTTGCTTAGTTTAAAGAGTTCATTTAGCCCATTTTTAGGTTATTATTACATCAAACATGTAAGCAGCTAGTAGCCGTGTTGTGCTATACATGTTGTTTCACCCTGTATTTCTTTTTTTCCAGCCCTTCAAAACAAAATTTGAAGCGAGCAGCCAAACCGCCACAGAAACTAGCTCCAGAGTGAGCAAACAGTCTCTGTAGCTCAATATCTGGCATTGACCTGTATTTGCAGTTAAAGCTCATGTGTCATGTTTTGAAGATGGCCGGAGGCTACCTGGCTTGCTTATCACACCCACAGATGTTGCCATGGCGGCTGTTGTGTTACGTTTAAAACAAACCAGGTTTCTATGGCGCCTTGCATTGTATTAGGCCAGACCCTGCGCTGCATCCTGGGGTCATGACAAGTTATCACACTTTCTCGTCAACTTTTAGCCATCAGGTGGTAGATTCTATAACCAGATAAAGATTTTGAGCTGCTGGGAGTGTTTTTTATCAGCTAAATGTGGAAGTACAAACTGGTTTCCCATGCAGAATATCTGTTTGAGTTTGTCATGCAGATGGCACTTTAGTAAAAAATAAAATAAAATAAAAAGGATATTTTCTACCATAGCTGCTCCTGCTGCTGCACGTTTGTGCTTCGGTGTGCAAAGCTCCAGAGCTGGCCTCTTCATGGGAATGTCATCTGCATTCTCCTGATTTCTCTCTATCTGCCTGTCAGATAAATAGACATGCTCTATAACTGCTTTCATGTTTCACTGTTTCACCTGCAGCCTTAATACGCTCATTATGTTGTCATTTGTTAATGGAGCCATCAGTCATCTGTATTAGAAAGTGGTCCAGGAAAAGCACCGTCACATCACAAAGCAGCAAAACGTAATCCCACTATGCTTCCATTGAAATAACTTCCTGCTGAGATTTCTCCTTTTCAGCACCACCAAAATAACCCAGAACACTTGCGAGAGTCTTCATCACCAGCTGTCTGCCTGCTGTGTTTGCTGCTTTTTACCTGCATGCCAAAAGTGTCTTCTGATGGTCAGAAAGCATGAAAATTACTTAAGTGACGCCAGGAGAACGGCTGCAACCAGCATGCTTCTGAAACAAACCAAAAGCTCAATCGCTGCACACCTCTTGATCGAGTCATGTTTAATGTCTGTGCTTTGCTTAAAAAGGATCACACTGAAAAAATGTTTATACCAGCTGGGTGTCTGCTGGGTGAGGATGTTGATGGGCTTTCTAGATTGCTTTTATGTGATGTTCTTTGCTAGCCTGGCAACCATCCTATATATATGTGAATATGTAGTCTGACCACAACCATTGATGGCACTCAGTCGTGGGGCAGGACCTATGGTTGTCTTTCAAACTGGTCAACGGGGCAGTTCGCCATACTTCGTCAAAGAAGATGCAAATACAGCCTTTTTCTAAATAAATGTAGGTACCACTATCTGCTCTTGACTCAAAGAAAAACCCAAGTCTAAACCCAAGTCTAAATAGTCCAAAGTTGATGCCAAAGCCATTTCAAATGTGGCATCCCCATCTTAGTTTTGCTCAGTCGCAGTAACATCCTGCCCACCAAATCGATAGAGCGCTGTGATTGGCCCACCAAACAGAGCGCTGTGATTGGTCAGCCACCTGACCGGCCGGGGCTGCAGATCGTCCAATGGAGCAAGGCTAGATCGACATGTAGAGTGAAATCATTTTGCTTCGGCAAATGACGGTCCACAGGCTAGTTCTTTTCAGATTTTTGAAAAATGTTTTTAGCTAAAATTTGCAAAAGAAACTTTGTGTTAACAACCCAATTTTCCATACCAAGTTCTTACTATTCATTGTGCTTTTGAATTATAGAAGCTACTTTAACTGTTTTTAATCACATGCAAAGTGGTGGACTACTCGCCATGCACACTCACACACACATGCCACCCTTTTGAATTATCGTTGGATCTGAGTGCAAATCATCACTTATGCTTCAATGCATGAACACTTTTACTCATCAGTGAGTCACTGGATGCATTTTAACTGAAGTAGGAGTGAAAATACCTTCATATTAGCCTTTTCAAATTATGTCCAAAGGGCTTTTTTCCATCTAATTCCTTTGCATGACATTTTTCCTTCTATAATTCTGGTTGTTTGTTGCCCAGGTTATGCTCCTGTGACCGGGATGTGTCACCCACTGAGGAGCTGCACTTTGAACCACGAGGATGGCTTCTCCTCAGCCTTTGTGGTCGCTCATGAAACTGGCCATGTGTGAGTAACAGAATTTGACTGTTTAGCCACCTGTGATCATGCTTTAATGGGGCTCTGCAGGCTGACAGTACATCACTCTGTTTTTATTCCATTTAAATGAGTAACTGTGAGTTAGTAACTATCAGTATCTCCCAGAATGCTTCGTCTTTTTAATGTTATGGACATTTTGTCATTTTTGGAAAGGACATGGAAAGAAACAGAGAGGGATCTCAGGTTCTCTGTTGGGGAAAAAGGGGATTTGGTTGCACATGGTTAGGATCAGGTTGGACACAGTTTTTCCTCACTTATCTGAGGTAATAATACATCAGTTGGTATTAATGGACCCAAATAGTGTCAAGAAAATATTCCCTATACTACACCTCACCTCCAGTTGCCTGAACCATGAATGCAAGGCAGAAAGGATGCATGCTTTCATGTTGTTGACACCATATTCTGACCTCTGATCTGCATGTTTTAGCTAAAATCAAAGCATTTCTAGTGACCCTGTGTGTTACCTGAGTTTCCTGTTATGAGCTAACAGGAGCGGTATCTGGTGAAGTATTTTGTTTATTTTAGCTCAGTGACAACCTTAATAAACAATAATAATCAGAAAGCTATCACACTATCAAGTTTAATGGGAACATGAATGCTCCTGAAACATTTATGTTATATTAATAATCTCTTGCAACGACAGCTCAAGTTATCAGTGGACATCATGAACAACTGCCGGTCCTTTTCACACAGCCGTCTGCTCCTCTGACGGAGCTCTAAAGGAACATGAACTTCTGAAACACGGGTGAACCCAGCCTCCTGCTGCTGCACCAGAATCAAAAACACATCACACACATTTGATTGACTGTCACATCACACAAAAGAACACAAGAAGCAGGTCACCAACTGCTTCATCCATCAATAGCTGAAAGGGAGCAAAGATCACGCTGTGCTTTAGAGACCTCTGAACTTTCTATCAACAGCCATCAAACTTTTATTTTTTTTAGGTTTTTGAAGTTCTTTTTGAACACTTTTGTCATCGTTTTCTTAGCTGATATTGTCTGCTGCTGTTCCAACCCTGACTGATATGTAGAAAATTGCATTTGAAGGAAACAAAGATGAGTTTTTTCATCCTGAAAGTTTGATCTGCAATTTGATTTAGAATAATTGGGTAGGTGAGTAAATTATTATCAGTTTATGTGATTATTCTCAGCTCCCTACACACATCCCAATTTACAAAATACATCTTGTTGGCTTTAATTGCACCAGTCAGTTTCAGTTTAGCATCAGAGAAAAGCCACCTGTGCAATCTGAGACTAGTTTTGTTTGATTGCTTCCACAAGCAGGTCTGAGCAGCTGTTCATCTAAAATATTTAAATTTGGTTACAAATTCACCCGGATAATTTTCAAATCTAGGAAACTTTAGAGAATGTTGTACCTCAAGTATTTAATTTGAAATAAATAAAAAACAAAAATAAGTGTCTGTTTCAAACATTTTGGAGCATCACAGCGTCCCACTGGTTTGTATCTCCACAGCAATCATTCACAAGCTTGTTCAGCGTTGCCTTGTCTGTATTCCAAACACATCCAGGTCTGATGAACTAAAACCTCAATTTTGCTTCAAGGTATGAGACAGTTTCATTGAGCCTGCCTCTCTCGCGCTGGCGTGCTCTAGACTTCCTGAACAGGATCACAGAGAAGTGGAGTTGGGTGGATGAATACCTTACATTGATTAGTTCTTTTAAATTTATTCTGCAAAGTTTTATTTTAAAAATGCTCAAACTTCCTCATGGCCACAATGCCTGCCATGTAGAAAGAGAAGAGTTGAAAAATGGGGTTTATGGTTTTAATAACCTGCAACTCAATGGCTGTGTCATGTTGAGTGTGGATCACATGATTGCTTTAATAAAGAGTATCTTTCTCACAGGCATGAAGCCACTCATAGCTATCTTCTAACTTTCCAGCTCTGGAAAGGTTACAGCATCTCTCTGCTTATGGTTTGGATCCCAGTTTCCTAAACTTATTTTATTTCATCACTTTTGGTTGCAGACTGATTTGAGATTCATCTGCTGGAAAGAGAACATTGATCTGATCTGATGTAAATGAGAAAATGTGTCACGGTGGGAGGGTTCGAGTAGCAACCCAGGTGCAGGAAGGAGAACCAGGCTCAGGTTGGGGAAGACTCTTTTCTTTAATAACAAAAATTCACCACACACGGTGGGAAAAAGGCCAAACCAGAGGGTCACACACGAGGGACTAAAATACAAGGAACATTAAAGTTTAGTCCAAACATCCAAGACAACGCCACACCAAGGACAGGCGATCGTGACTTAAATAAGGGTGGTGATTGGGGATTGCAGTCAGCTGCGACACTCTGGGGGACACACATGGCGTGGGGCGGAGCGTCCTGCCGCAGCTGATCTGCACAAAAAAACAAGGTATAGAAATGAGCAGGGGACATGAACCCTAACCAGAATAAATACGTACAACAAAAAGGAGAAGGGTTAAACCATTACAAAATGAGCGGAAAGTTAAATCTCATTGTGAGATTTTCATCATGGTGAATAGTAAATAATATGCTTTCCAAGGATCCACAACCCCCCAAGGCACTATATAACACAGTCAGTCATTCACACACACATTCACACGCTTGAGATGATGAGCTACAATGTAGCCACAGCTGCCCTGGGACGCACAGAGGCTAGGTTGTTAAGCACAGGCACCAGTGGTCCCTCTGACCACCACCAACAGGAACGGTTGCCCAAGGACACAACAGCTGCCGGAAGAATAAAAAAATAAAATGAAAGCAAGTCAGTGGGGATGACAGTAGATTGCACCAGGAGCTGGGTGGCATATTGTGTTACGTACGGTCTGATCTTTCATGTTATACAGCACGAAGCAGCATGAACGAGCAACAGAGGCCACTTGATCTTTAACGTTCAGCTGGTCATCAATCACAACACCCAAGTTTCGAACTGCCTTTGAAGGAGCCAGAGATAGGAAATCATTTTGGATTGAGATATTGTGCCGTATGGACGGTTTCGCTGAGATTGACTAGCGTGGTTGTAACACACATTGTTACTTGTCATTTAAACAGAAGTACAACATATGAGCTATCCAGTGCGCAAGGCAAAGCGGACTAGAAAATAGCTCTTTTAGCTCCATTTACTTGTATTAATTTTTTTGTTATTCCAGGGACCCACGAGCCGGCCGGAACGGGAGGAGACTTAGGCCTAGACTTAGACCTATTGAGAAATGAATAAATATTTTACTTGTTAAAGCAGGTGTACTCATTTATGCATAGTACTGTAGCTCTGGTGAGGCTTTTCTTTGTATTTCAACAGCTTTTAGAGCTGAGAGCTTGTTCATTGTTTCTCTGCCAGTTTTAAAATTTTTCAGCCAATCCTTCTTGAGCTGTCGATCTAAAAAGCACTTGAGGTGTATATATTTTGCAATCAGAATCATCCAATATCTTGTGATTGACTTTTGTGTGCTAAACAATGAAATAATCCCAAACTAAAGAGAATTGTTACAGAAACATAAAGTGAGTTCCTGTCAACCCCCTGTGTCCTTTATCACCTACTGAGAAGTGTGAGATATTTCTGTATTCATAGCTCAACACCTGCTATGTTTATTAATGAAAAACAAAAAACTGAGTTGAAATTTTAAGAGATGGATTATTTTCTGGAGTTCAACAACATGATTGATGTGAGAGCCTACATTAATTATTCAGATCCTAGGAGGAGCTAGTTAACCAGAGCTGGCGTGGAGGTGTGCGAGGCGGTGTAGACAGCTGGTAAACACAACATGCAAACTGAAAAGAATTGCTCTTAAAGGATTCAGTCAGATCTGTGTGCAGGGGAAATCAATATACGAAAACCCCGACGCTTCTAGTTTTAAGGCCATCATTTCCTCAGCTGTGAAGAAGGACACTTAGTGATGGCTTCAGCATGACGTGTCTTGTCTTGTCATAATCATTGTCAGACAGCTTCATCTGACCCGAATCCCTGGCTGCCTTCGACTCCATTAGCGTTGTTTAACAATCAGGAGTCGACAAAAACTGGGAAATCCAGTTTTTGATTTGCTGGAGTTTTTGACAATTAAAACTGCTTCCTCATTTTCTAAGTTAACACACATTTATTTTAACAACGGTAGATTCTGCATCTGACTTCTGCCCTCTCCCCCCTCCCCCTGCACAGCGGCCGCAAACTCACTGATGCACCTGCAGCCTCTCAGAGTTCCTGTTGCTCTAAACATTAAAATAATTATTTCATTTTCTGTTCCTCACTTCTGATTACCTTCAATTGTGTCTGTTTGTTGCAACCACCAGGTACAAAAACTAACTTGTTTTTATTTGACTATTTTTCTGTCCTGCCTGTTTATTATCTTCCTGCATCTCCTCTCAATCCTAAATAAAAACTGCTACATGGCTTCATATATATTCACCTTATGAGTTACCTTTTAACTGCAGTCCTAAAAGACCTACCGACCACAAAAACAGCTGAGTGTGCGTTGCTCGCCGGCTGCATCAGTGAGGTGCGTCACCAGAGGTCAAAACAGGTTATGTGCTCCTCTCCACAGCAGCGAAACGCATCAGGCACAAATAAGACAGAAAACATAAAAGGAAATGAGCCAACATGAACGATTGCATGTTAAATTTGTTTTGAGGGGGCGACACCCAATTTGATAATGTTACTGTGGCCATGCTCAGGAAGCAGATGTCTGGAGCGTGTCACCGATCAGACTTTTGCATGCGCAAGCTGGTTAAGGTTAGGATGGGGGTGAGGGCCGTCTGGTTGGGGTCTGGGGTGGTGGATTGCTGTGCTCAGAATTGGGCGGGGGAGCCTGCTCATCAGCACCCCAGCAGAAAGGGTCGAACTCTTGGAACCGGTAATGGCTGTACCCCATGTGCAGCAGTACCAAGACCAGAGTGAATAGGGTGTGTATGGGGAGCATGAGTGGGTGTCCGGCGTGCATTTTTGTAAGTCTTAGGTTGTATGTGCATGTGTGAGCATGAGGGAGGGAGTGTGTGACTGTACTTGTGTATGACTGTATGTCAGGTGGGGCCTTTGACTCCTCCCTTCTCCTGGGACTTCTTTTGGTGATATGGATCTTCGTTTCCCCTCTCCCTGCCAAACCTGGTGTGGAGTGTGGTGCCTTGGTCTGCCTGGGTTGTGGCTCCTGGGTCAGGGAGTTTAAGATTTTTGGCATCTGCCTGACCAATCCCGGTGGCTACCTGGTGGGGTCTGGGTCCCTGGGCTCTGCTGGTTCCCCGGCGGGGGTGGTTGCCCCTGGGTCCCGAGCTCGGCCGGCTAGGGGGTGGGAGGCTGCGGGCGGACCTGTGGGCTTGAGCCGATATCTCCCAGGACTTTGCTGGCTGCTGGTTGTGGCCCCCCGGGGCGATCCTCTGCGCCTCTCGAGGGGGGCAGGGGCGATTCTGGTCGCAGTCTCCCTGGAGTTCCTGTGCTCTGGGGCAACTCCTGGATCTCTGGGACTTGGAGCTCCCTCCGTCTCCTGCACATCTTTAGGGGGCAGATCTGTGGCCCCTCACACTCTCTATTGGACGCTCCTATACATAAACCTTACATAAACAAGCGCGTGTACACACAGAGGTGCTCACATGGTGCTCTCATAAGTATAGACTTGGGCACGTTCAACACAGGTCTTAAGGCTGTGGTTGGCACTTAATGCACTGTGATTTATTATCATGTGATTGTTCAGTTAAACAATGTTGATTATATATTTCTTCATCAAGTTGACGCAGTGATAGCTTGATCTTGTTGCATTGATGTTGTGTCCCATTCTTTTTGTTTTTTGTTTTGCTTTTTTTTGTCGTCTCTCTTTCTGCAGGTCTAGAAGCAGATTCTTGTTCAATATTGTTTATCTTTGTGGAACAGCCCCCCCCCCCCCCATTTTGGGTCTCTTCCTTTCTCTTTCACCTCTGTCTCCGTGTCTGGTCAGAATTAAAAAGCATTCAAAAACAATAACAATAAAGTTTTAAGTATCAGGCGTGACATTAGAAGCAGACGCTTTGATGCTCCACCTGAGAGTAAATCTGTAAGGCTTGTTACCAGCATTCAGACATCAGTTCTGTTTGCTTCACAGCTAGACAGGACACACACACAAAAAAAAGGATGGGGGTGAGGGGAATGTTTAATTGCAAGAGGGTAAAGGTCACAATTTGGTCAAATGTACGTTTTTCCGCGGACGTCAGTACCAACGCTCTGGCACAGCGCGTCGCCTCCCAATGCTCAGGGACTCGTCACCTGCTGTCTTTCCCAAGGACTCTCTCTTGTCAGCCATTATTATGTGACAGCGACTAGTCTATGACAGGCATAAAAATTCACTACAGAGCAGTGAAGTCAGCTCGTCGACTAGTCGACCAGTTGATACAACCCCTAACACACACACACACACACACACACACACACACACACACACACACACACACACACACACACACACACACACACACACACACACACTTTCTCATCTTGGAGTTGTTGTGAGGACCGCCATTGACTTCCATTCATTTTAGTGACTTGGTCTACCTCTAACCCTGACCATAAACATAATCACCTTGTAATGTTCTTTCTGTGCTGCTTTTCTAGTTACATTATTTTGCTGTTCTTAACTCATACATAGGGTAGTAAAGTTTCCATCTTTACCTTATTGACAGTTTCCGCTTCTTACAGTCGCCTTCGCCAAAGTTTCACTGATGTTAGTAAAAATAACAGACGAAACATACAATCAATGGATACCAACTGCAAACATCATACCAATGATTTACAGAACCCCACAGTACACAAACAATATACACCCCTGAGACCAATAGTGAACAGTGTAGGCTGACCCACATACAACATGGCACAAGGCATTGGCGATATAATAATATAATGATGAGCCAGCTTTTAGGAAACACGGACCAACACTCTGCAAGAACAGCTCAGTGTGTAACTAACGTGCCGGTGAGCGAAGTGGAGATGAGGTGAGGAAGACAGGCAGACAGGTAGGAACGTTTTACAATACCTTTAATATGAAGCACGCAGGACATAGAAACAATGATCCAACACGAGACACAGAACTGAAGGGGTTTAAATACAAGAGGGCTGGGAGTTTGGGTGATTGGAAAACGAGAGGTAGGTGGAAGCAATTAACAGAGACACAGGACTAAACCAAAAGGGGAGACAGTGATAGCAACGGAACTCAAAAAGATCATCATCAAAGAAAGCTAATCATTAATCTCACACGACGTCACACAAAGACAATCAGAACCATTAACAAATCATTTGAACAACATGGATGAACCAAACAACACAAAGTTCACCTATGAGGAAGAGAAGGAGGTTAGCATCACATTCATGGTCATGAAAATCACCAGAAAAACAGACAGCATACTCAAAACTAGTATATACAGGAAACCTGATTAATATTTACTTTGGATATCAGAACCACCAGTCATACACAAAATGACTGTAACTAGAACACTTTGTCACTGAGCTAAAATGATAACAGAGGACAGGATATAGACAAATGCATTAAAAACCTACATATACCCGACATGGGCAATAAAACAAGGAAACCTAAAAACTACTTCAATGACATCAATCAAAACAAATAATCATAAAAACTGGGGGAAACTGAGCCAAAACCAGTGTTAGCCCTCCCATACTTCACAGGAATAACAGCAAAAATAAGAACAGCAATGGAAAAACACAATGTACACACTGCTGCAAAACCATACATGACGGTCAGGAAAAGACTAGTAAACCAAAAAGACACAATAACACAAGAACAATATCTTATATGAAATACCATGCAAACTCTGTAAGGAAACATACATGGGAGAAACAGGATGCCAGCTAAACACACGAATACTGGAACACAAAAAAGAATGTGAAAAGGAAACAAGCTGAAGACACACGAGAGCAGCCATACTAGAAGCAGATAACACAATAAAGGAATCAGCCATGACAGACCACAGCACAAGAGAATGAACAGGTACAGCACACGAAACATAACAACAGGACAACAAAAGTACAGAAGAGAGATTAAAGAGGTGATTGAGATGTGGACCACGAATAGGGATGAAGGAGTTCACACACTGGATCATTCATAGGAGGTGGTGATCAACAAGGCAGGTGCGGGCAGGAGAGGGTGACATTGTCCTCTACTGCCAGTGGATAAACAGCAACAGAAGTGATACCATCAACCTCAGTGAAGCTCTCAAGAAAGCAACTGTGAGAAGCAGAACCTGTTAGCTTAACAAGGTAAAAACAGTAACTTTGTTACACTGAATACAAGATAAGAACAGAAAAACTATGGAACTATAAACTTAACCAGTCTAGTCCTAACCCTAAACTAAAACTTCATTCTCACCAAACCTCTAAAGCTAACACATAGAGCTCTGTAACACTGTATTAAAGTGAGGAACAGGCAACATGTCCTCACTTTGCAACCAATATCCTCAAATAAAGGGAGAAAAGTTAGTCATTTGTCCTCAGTTCGATGTATAGACAAGTACACACACACACACACACACACACACACACACACACACACACACACACACACACACACACACACACACACACACAGGTAAAAAAAACTATTGCTTAACTTTTGAGGGCTTGTGAATATATTTTGTAATTTTTTTAGTAATTCACAATCTTCTTTGTGAGTGTGTGTTTCTGCTGTGTGGGCTAGAGTGTGTGTGTGTGTGTGTGGCTGAATGTCCCTAGTGTTTTCACAATCTTCTTGTTTTGTGTTCCGATGATTGGTTGTAGTTGGTTAGTCTTTCTGGCTGTTTTCCCTGCGTGAGGCAATGTGATTAGCAAACCACTGACAGATATCTGTGGCTGAGATGTGACCTATATAAGATACTAACATGTTTTGTCTGGTGAGCCTTAACCTTGACAAAGTAATAGAAATCTAGAAGTGCACACGGAGCTGTGCATCATTATTTTTACATCATTATTTGTGCATCAAATGTGTTTCTAATGACTTCCAACGCTGATCTATGTCTCTTTTATTTAGTTTGGGTATGGAACACGATGGCCAGGGGAATCGTTGCGCCGATGAGACCAGTATGGGCAGCATCATGGCACCGCTCGTCCAGGCAGCTTTCCATCGTTACCACTGGTCACGCTGCAGCAAGCAGGAGCTCAACAGATACATCCAGTATGCACGGCTGTGTATCAGTCTCCCTTTGCTCCATAACTGTTTTTGCAGATCTGACATGCTGTCTACTACGGATGATGATGTTATTCACAACCTTCCTGCAGTTCTTATGATTGCCTACTGGACGACCCCTTTGAGCACAAATGGCCCAAGCTTCCCGAGCTTCCTGGGATAAATTATTCAATGGATGAACAGTGCCGCTTTGATTTTGGCGTTGGTTATAAAATGTGCACAGCTGTAAGTCCTGCACGTCATAGAAAATCACTCTGACTGGAGGATTCTTAGTTTCTTACTCAAACGTTTATTTTTATTTTCCCATTTAGTTTCGAACCTACGACCCGTGCAAGCAGCTGTGGTGCAGCCACCCTGACAACCAGTATTTCTGTAAAACCAAAAAAGGTCCTCCTGTAGATGGGACAGAGTGTGCACCAGGGAAGGTAGGAAGCAGCTTACTTTTGTTCATCTTCTTTAAAAAGTGGATATTACCTCTCTTTTGTTCTTTATTTTCCTTCCTTTTGTCTGAATTTCAGTGGTGCTTTAAGGGCCATTGCATCTGGAGGTCCAGTCAGGAGCCTCAGGGACACGATGGCAGCTGGGGCTCCTGGTCCAAGTTTGGGTCTTGCTCCAGAACATGCGGGGGTGGAGTTCGATCCCGCAGCCGACAGTGCAACAACCCTCCGTAAGTAGGGAATCTGATCCCATGGAGTCTGCTGGATGAAAAAAAAGTTCGTTTTTTTAGTTTTGTTTTTTGAAATGATGACATACTGTAAAATTTGCTAGAATTTAATCAGGTAAGTGTTTTAGGATGTTTTTTTATCATTCACTACTTACGAAACGCTTATATCCTTAATTAAAACTTACTAGGCAAAAACTATCTGCTATGAAAGGTGTTCTTAACAGTTTTTAGTTTTCCATCTTAGTAAATTAAATAGTTTGTTTTATACACCCTGATCATTTGTTGTTGTTTTTTTAGAAAAATAAAATATTGTCACTGTTACAAAAAGCTCATAACAATTGTCGAAGCAAGGCAGCTTTAATTATATAGCAAATTTCATAAACACATTCAATGTGGTTTCCAATTAGCAAGAATAGCGCAAACATTAAAATCAATGTGACAGCACAATTAAAATACACAAATTTAGATCAAACTAAATACACAAATTAATTTCAGATATAAGAATCAGAAAAAGACAAAGATTTAGGGTGAGCAGTTACAGTACAGAAGGTGCAGTTTAAGAAACATTCATTCAAAGGCTGATGAACACATGAAGGTTTTCGATTTTAATTGAACAGTTTCTAGAGTTGGGTCACATTTGGTCACATTTGAGGTCACGAGGAAGCTGATTCCATCTGTGTGCAGCATGGTAACTAAAAGCAGCTTCACCCTGTTTGGTTCTGACCCGAGGTTCTACCAGCCGACTGCTTCCTGCTGGGCCCTGCTGGGTGTATAAGGAGATACAAAATGTATTCTGGCTCCGTGTTATTGAGGGATTTATAAGCTAGTAGATGCACTTTGAAATTGATTCTCTAGTTTAATGGTAACCAGAGATTTAAAGAGCAAGTCACCCCCAAATCAGCTTTTTTTTCCTGATAAACTATATAAATGCGTGTCTAATCGTGCTGCAGACATGTGTAGTCAATAGTTTAGCACTTTAGTGCATCTTAGTTAAAATTGAAATATTCTGCCTGAAACTGTCAGTGTTGTGCCATTGTCAGGTAAAAACTCTGCAGCTGAATTTAAATCTACCACCGCTATTGGCTAAGAGGTATGCTATGATGTAAACTGGTACATTATGATGTCACAATGCCGTTGTGAGCCTGTGTGTGTGTATTTGTTAGTGGCTCCGCCCTCTCGGTCTGCTAGGAAACATCATTTGTTGCATTTTTTAAACATGAAGAGGGAGTGAAGTAAGTTTCTTGTAGGGGGTGACTTGCTCTTTAAGAGCAGCTCAAGTTATCGTTGTAACTAACAATAGAAGATGTTGAAAAGTGCCAGAATAAATGCTATTAAGTTTCTGCAACAGCATTGAAACAAATAAAAATACATAAAATACCAAATGTTTTTGTCACTAATAAAAAATCAAGGTGCAAAGCAGTTACAGCCTTACAACTGGTTGTCAATGATGCAATTGCCAATGCAATTTAGTTGCTTCGGTTTCAGTGATACAGCTTGTGTTGGCTCTCAGTCACACTCTTATGAATGACCGGTGTGCTTAAATGGAAAAGGATACTTATTATTATTTAAGCGGTGTTTTGCCAACCGAGACAAACAAAAACACCTGCTGTGAAAACGGCGCACGGCGCCTTTCCTGCGGTGTCGCTGCCAGTCACAAGTATAAATAGAAGAACTGACTTTTGTTTGAATAAGACATTGTGAATTCAAATGCTTTAGCTAAAAGCCTAAAATACCAGCTTGGTTCTTTAAAACAATTCTAAACTAAATCACAAGTGCTTCAATTTTAGGCACTGATTGTTTATTAAATGGAAATCTTTGAGGAAATGTCAGTTGCACGTGCACAACATCAACAGACAATGTCGACTGGAGAATATTTTATAAAATGGAGAAATGTAGTGATTTAGGCCAAAGAGTGGTTACCTAACAAAGGTGTGTCACACTGAAAGCTGGACACACATTTACAGATGTGAATAGTTCTCATCTAAAAGTCTTTTTCCATCCTGAGCATTGGGATTTTACTGCATACTTCTTTTGTTCCAGTGTGTTGAATAAGAGATAATCAGGTGGATTTTCTCCAATAATGAGATTTTGGATCATTGCGGGTTTTAAAATGTGTTTCTCTCATTGGTCAGGCCCGCCTACGGTGGCCGGGACTGCCCTGGTTCTGCTTTCAACTACCAGATGTGCAACACAGAAGAGTGTGCTGGTCCGTATGAGGACTTCCGTGCTCAGCAGTGCATCCAGAGGAGCAATAAGTACCACAATAATGTCAAGCACTCCTGGCTGCCACATGAGCACCCGGATGGTGAGTCTGTGAAAAGGTATTTACAGCTGCCTCTCCTCGTCAGAGGTGAACTTGGAGGTTTTATGCCATGCAAAATGTGAAAAAATGATATTTACAGAATCAAGTTGTGGTTCGAACAGATTTATTTGTTTTATTTTATCTACATTAGAGGGTTTTACAACTTAAATCACACATTTCAAATCAAAGGACAGCATACTTTAGGATTTGTTTGATGGAGAAAATCATCTATGAGTCCATAAAAGGCAACTTTTTCATATTTTAAATCATTTTCATGAGCCAGCATGTGCTAAAATGACCCTTTACAAGGTTAATGAAAGGCCACCCGGCCCCTATCGCCCCTGTGGCCAGAATATTCCACTTGCAGCTTCAGAGTTGATCCGCTCTGTTGGGACTTAGAACATTTTTAGCTGACATACCTGGCGCTGCAGTCTGCTTCCAGCACGTAGACACTAATGAAGGCTGAGAGACATTTCAGCTTTTAGATTAAGGTGTTAAAAGACAAACGCACAGTGAAGAAATAAGTTTTGCTTTCAGTTCTACAAATGAACACTAGGGGATGCTAAAAGCAAGCCACAATTGCCTAGTTTTCTTTTAATTACAGCAATACAAAACAGCCCCAGACCATCACACTACCACATGTGTGACTAATAGTACACCAGATCTAGAGGGACACATTCCTTTGAGAAGATCTCATTTTTATGTCATCATTCCACAGAATGTTTTCTCAAAATAATCAAAAATCAAAATAATTTAGGTAAATATTAGACATGTTTTTGTGTGAGATCTTGGCCTTGGAACTTCTCCATTGGTCCCCCCTTTCTTTTTTTTTTTTTTTTTTGTATTGTTGAATCATAACCTCTGACTTTAGCATTAACCAGGAGGCCTGTTTCAGGGTCTTTATTTCTGTGCAACAGGTCATGAAGTGTTGCTTTTTGAGATATTTTAGCCTACGTTAAGTTGTCAGAGATGTTGTGTTGAAGGGGTTTCATGAGTTTGGCTGGTAGAGCTGAACTCAGCCTTCCAATAATGTAATTTATCACAGTTAATTCATAATTTAATACGGATGGTGATTAGTTTTTCACACAGAGCCAGGTTGGTTTGGCAGGTATTTTTCCTTAATAAATGAACCCATCATCTGATAACTGTTTTTAATATCAATTCAGGTTATCTGTATCTTAACTGAAATGTGTTTTCACATCTGAAACATTTAAATGTGGCAATAAAGCAAAAGCAGAAGAAATATTTCAAGCAAAGACCAGATGGAAAGCTTTTTAGGATTTCATGGTGTTCATGGATGTTTGCAGAGGCCCGTAAATGTGAGCTGAGCTGCAAGTCGAAGGAAACAGGAGAGGTGGTGTTCATGAACCAGGTGATGCACGATGGCACAAGGTGCAGCTATTCAGACCCCTTCAGTGTGTGCGCTCGAGGAGAGTGTCTGGTGAGTCTTTTTAAAAGTTGACTTTCCAACCTAACAAGGAATTCATTCTGAATATTACATCTAAATCACACCATCTGTAAAAGCTTCTTATTTCAGTACAAAATCTAGGATATTTTTTTGTGTGCAAAAGATTTCAAATACCAATGAGTTTAGCAATAATTAGTTTTTCTAATTAGTTATTATCTTGTAAAAACATGCCTTGATTTGCCTACTTTTAACTCAAATGTTCAGGGAAAAATGCAGAAAAGCGTTTCCTCTTGCTAAATCAGTGCACTGAGACACGTTTCAGGAACATCATTCTACAGCGAGCTGTAAACATACAAGCAAAGTAACACATCGAGCTTTACAGAAGTTGTTCACTGAGAAACTATTTTCTACTTATTATTTTGGAAAACGATCGCTCACTCTGAGTTTAACATGCAGACTAAACATGAAAATAGTCTCCTACACCTGGTTCCCGCATTAGATTCTGATAGAAAATAGACGGTGAAACTCTAGGATTAGGACAGCTTGACAGATCTACGTCACACTGTCACTTAACATTCATGGACTCACCCATCTTGACTCACAACGGGGAAGGCTGTTGTTGGTCCATAAAACATTAGAAAACGTCTTGACTAGTAGAAGCTAACCGTTAACATTAGCACCTCCACCACACAGCAGAGCTCCTTCAGGCTTGTGTTATCTGTGGAAAAAACCATCAATGATGCAAAGCAAACTGAGTCAGTAGTAGAGTTGCTTTGCTGTTACACAATCAGATGTCCAAATATCAGAAAATAAGCCTCCAAGTCCTTTAATCTGAAACTACCTTGTCCTCCAGCTGACTTCTGCATCCTCAAACAATTGCACTGAAGCTGTTTTTTCCCCCGAGGATGACTTACACAGCATGCGTTCCTACTAGAGACCACTGAAAGTGTATTGAAATGAATGAACTACCTCTTTTAAAAGGGATTTAAATATTATGATTTATTGTAATTTTATGTATTTTTTTTTACCATAAAATCCAAGGTTATAATTTTAGTTAATTAATTAAGACCTAAAACATGTAGAAGCACTAGCTATCACATTTTACACTGCTTATTATCTTCATGTAGTAGAATTTTATGAGGAATATTAATCCCAAACATCTCCTGATGGTATTTTACTAACATATTTTAACCTTTAGTTGAGGGCTACTTGATGATCAAAACAATCTCATTAGTAAGACTCAATCAGATATTCAATGTCAAACTGAAACTCGTGACAGAAATATTACTCATGTCTGCGCTTCTTTCTAACAGCATTAGTCACCTTGGTTATTACTGTTGAGGCTTTAGTCTTGGCAGGACATCAGTATTTTGGCTCTATCTCTGTTATGTCTGAGATAAACTATCCAGATCCAGTATGAGCCTCACATGTCATCATTTTCTCAGCATGTAATCGCAGTCAGCTCTGATTTGACTGACTGTCTTTGTTGTTTCCCTGCAGCATGTAGGCTGTGACAAGGAAGTCGGCTCTTACAAAGAAGAGGATAAATGTGGAGTTTGTGAGGGGGACAACTCCCACTGTCGCACAGTCAAGCTGACCCTCACCAAAACCCCCAAAATGAATGGTATTTGTCTGAAATGGGTGTCATAGTTTCTTGTCTCAAACGGGCCATTTTAATGAAAAATAAATAATTAATTGGCTGCTTCAAAAGCACAGAGAGTTCCTGTCTGAACCACGATGTGCTACTTTCTCTTCTAAGGAATGCTGAAAATGTTTGACATCCCCATGGGAGCTCGCCACATAATCATCGAGGAGAATGAGACCACCCCTCATATAGTTGGTGAGTTTTGTTACTTGTTTTAGTTTAAAAAACACAGATGGTTCCTTCTTTTCCTGCGATACCCATTAGTTAAATGGTATCTCCTTGTTTCGAACAGCTGTGAAGAATCAGGTCACTGGGAATTTTATATTAAATGAAAAAAGCGACAACACTGAATCCAAGACCTTCATTGAAAACGGTTTACAGTGGGAGTACTCCAACGACGGAGCAAGGGAGACGCTGAAAACAGCAGGTCCTTTACATGAAGGCATTGTAGTTTTGGTGAGTGACTCCTCGCCTACATTATCTTTACTATGATTCCACAATTCTATCAACCCTAATCACCGTTCTCTGCTGTTATGCAGGTCTCTCCGATGGAAGAAGACGTGAAAATTAGTTTGACATATAAGTACATAATACACGAGGACCTGCTGCCACTCATTACCAACAACAATGTGCTTCTTGCTGAACTGGACACTTATGAGTGGGCGCTGAAGAGCTGGTCTCAGTGCTCCAAACCTTGTGGAGGAGGTCAGTGAGTGTATGTGTGTGATCCAAAACCAGAAGTGAATGCAACAACAGTTTGCATTTATTGTAAAAGAAGAAAAAATATGTCACATTGTTGATGAATTCAGAAAGAAAGCAAAAACATAACATCATAAGTACCAAGTTGATCATCTTGTTATAATGGTGTTTGACAGTGAAGGAAACTCATGTTAGGCTGCTGAGTGTGGTGGAAGCGGGAACGTATTCATCAGAAATTAGGGAAGAAAATCACTGAATCCACAGATCAGAGAACAATGATAGTTTGTGTACATAGATCGGACGTCCAGCTTCCCATTAGAGACATTGTCTTTAGAAAAAACATACAGGGCAGACAAATTTGACAGCCTTGTTCACGTTGCGCCTTTGTGAGCAGGATGAGCAGCTTGAGCTTCTCTGGACTGTTGCTTCTAAGTCTCACAAAGCCACGTATCTCACAAGAAGCAGTGTTCATTTTGACAAGAAACTGGAATTTAGTTTTAGTCTTAGTCTCTTGACTAAAATTCTTTTTCATTTTAGTCACAATTTAGTCATCCAATTAGTTTTAGTTTTAGTCTTATTTCAGTCGACTATAAGATATGTATTTTTCTTCTGATGCAGGAAGTTGTGTTAAGGAAATGTTAACTAAACCTACTTGAAACTGAAAAGAAATGGGGAAAATAAATCACATTTCACACTTTGGATCAATTAAACTTTATTTATAATTGTTTCTATAACAATAATTAATGGAAAATACCAAAATGAACACTGACAGTTTGAAATTGTACCTCTCAATATTAATAAAATACACAAATCTGTGTCATGTGTAGTAATATATGTAAACATGACAGGAAATTACATCATACCATCAAAACTTTAAAATGTACTACTCTAAAGATACAGAGGTACACTAGAGGTAAGAATTGTTTTCAGGTGTTTTTATTATAGTTTTATTTGGACTGATTCATCAAGGTGGAACACCTGAACATTTCTCCACACAAAAGCACAGCTAGCACACCAAACGATGATCATACCAGCCACATAGCACTACAAAAATAAAAACAATCAATAAAAACACTCTGCTTCTTTAGCTCGGTTCGGTTCGCTGAGCCCCAGCTGAGGAAGTAGGCAACAAAGTGTGTTAGATTGGGGAGATGGGGGGTCAGATTTATTAGTCCCCACCGATGTCAATAGTAAATCTATGCCGGTGCTGTGAAGACATTTCAGCAGCTAGATTAACAAATGCACATCGAGGAGGAGAGTTTCAGTTTGGTTTGACAGTGAATTAAAACGGACACTAGGGGGGGCTAAAAGCAAGCCAAAACTGCATCATTTCCTTTCAAACTCCTTGTTGGAAACATCATGTTATGATTAATACTTCCAACACGGCTTTAAAGCTTTTATTTTATCCTCCATGGGATAGTCTAAGTTAGCTTGACATTCAAGTGAAACTGGAAAAATTTGAAAATGTTGCTAAAGTTATTTAATGTCAGTAATTCAACTTAGACTGAGAGACCATCTAAAGGCTCAGGAACCCTCTGCAGGTGTTAATAAATCATTAGCTGATTAGAGTGCGACACTTTGAGTCTAGAATATTGAACCTTTTTCACAATTTTCTAATTATCTGAGATTTTGAACGTGTTTTTTTTAGCTGTAAACATAATAATCACAATTATAACAAATAAAGGCTTGAAATATGTGGTTTTGCATGGAATGAGTCTAGCTCATGGATTAGTTTCACATTTTAAGTGGAATTACTGAAATAAATGAACTTTTGCACCATATTCAGATTTTTTTTTTGTTTCACTTGTACTTCAGTGCATAAATGTAGGTAAAGGTGCAAACTGAATACTTGAGTCATAATTTTGGTGACCTAAGACTTGATATGATGAAAGCACAAAACATTTGGGACTTGACTCAGACTTTGTTATGTGACTCTAATAAAGCTTCAGCCTGTTAGCTTGAGAATTCTCAAGTTCTCACTGAGAGGCGTCCCACATTCACAAATACACCTTTTGTAAAGCTTTTCTAAGTATTGGGAGGTTAGTTGTCATTTTCTGTATTTAAATTATGTTTCTAGTTAAATGATTTGGACCTAACACTAGAATTGCATGTCTTGATTTTGGTCTTGACTTGCTCACATTCTGGATTGACTCACTAGACTTGAGTGGAAAGACTTGAGATGTATTTATAAATAATACTTGGTCCTGCCTCAGGTTGAGATTGCCTTGGCAACACCTTAATATGAGTCACTCATTCAGCCATTCATTACCCAAACTACTTCATCCTAATTAGGGTTGTAGGGGGGATGGTGTCTAATTCCAGCAGTTACTGGTGAGGAGCAGGGGATGGGTTGCATTTCCATTACAGGGCAGTACAAACACAACCAGGATCAGTTTTGAGTCTCCAATTAACCTAACATGCATATGTTTGGAAAATAAGAATCAATGCATGCATGGAGAGGACATGCAGAAAGGCTGCAGACAGAATTTGAACCTTCAACCTCCTCGCTGCGAGGCAACAGTGCTACTTACTCCGGCACCATGCAGCCCCTAATATTAGTCAAGTGGTGAAATATAAATTAGTATCTCATCTCAGTTAAAGTCCTAGTTTGGTTTAGTTTGGTTTTATTATAAAAAGACAGCACAAAGACAATGTTACATGGAAGGGCAATGCAACCGCTGCTTTGTACAGAGGTTTTCTAGCCAGAAGCTAATTTGCAAACCTAGTCCTTGGTTGGACAATCAAATAACAGCATTTGTAACATTTATCACCACACACACACGCCCGCATTCCTAAGGCAGTGTGGAGTGAACGCGACCAGGCTGGGGCGGGCGGGCAAAGTGGAGTAGAGCCAATGCTAGTGTGTAAGAGGCTTTAGTCCCTTCAGCATGCCCTGGGTCTCCCTTTGGATCTCCTCCCGGTTGGACATGCCCAGAAAGGGGAGGCATCCAGGAGGCATCCTAATCAGATGCTCGAGCCACCTCAACTGGCTCCTCTCAATGTGGAAGAGCAGCAGATCTACTCCGAGCCCCTCCCGGATGACCAAGCCTTTCACCCTATCTCTAAGGGAGACCCCAGACACCCTGCGGAGAAAACTCATTTTGGCCGCTTGTATCCATGATGTGGTTCTTTCGGTCAATACCCAAACTCGTGACCATAGGTGAGGGTAGATCTCCTGGTAAATTGAGAGCTTTGCCTTTCGGCTTGTTTGCATTTTGGCTCAGCTCTCTCTTCGCCACAACAGACCGGTACAACGCCTGCATCACTGCAGATGCAGCACCAATCCGGCTATCGAAATTCTAATCTGAAATTCTAATATTTAAGATAATCAAACCTCTTCTATCAAAGATGAGCACCGTCTCTGACACTTACTCTCAATCTTAAAAAGACCATCGATGCAAACTTAATACTGTTTTTTAAAATTCATTTAATTCTCAGGTTTATGATCATTCTCTTACATTTTTGTTGCCCTGTTGGTGTATTTATACTGAATATGTAACTTTTGGCCTCTCTGAGATCCATTGCCCCCTCTCTTGACTTCATTAGGAATACAATATACAAAATATGGATGCAGGAGGAAGAGTGACAGTCGATTAGTCCATCGCAACTTCTGTGAGACCAGTAAAAAGCCCAAACCCATCCGGAAACGCTGTAATATACAAGAATGCAACCAACCCACGTAAGTGATCTTCAGCTATGACATCGCAAATCTGCTGGTTTTACTTCCATGAATGCTCTATTATGACTTTTACTGTGGGATTTCAAAGTAGCATTAGCATTTTTTGTTCCAAAATACAGTGGAAGCATTATGTTAATGCTGTGCTGACAGGTGGGTGGTTGAAGACTGGAGCCCCTGCAGTAAGACATGTGGGAAACTTGGCTACCAAACCAGGGTGGTGCAGTGCATGCAGTCGCTCCATAACAGCACCAACCGGCCCGTCCACAGCAAGCACTGCACCAGCGATCGCCCAGAAATGAGGAGAGTATGTAACTACACTGCATGCCCCGCCCAGTGGAGGACAGGGGCGTGGTCTCAGGTAAGGCAAATCTCAACAACATTTTTCAAAATGGATTCTGTCTCCAGCTTGCCTACGTAAAAAGTAACAATAATAAAAAAAACTAAAGCCAATGGGAAATGTATTCTTCACCAATTGTCAAGTTTCACTAATTCATAAGCATTTTCAGATATATTATGTCTTTATTTTTCTATCTAGCTGTTAATAAGTATTTTTGGTTATTGCTTTTCTCAGAGCTATTCCGCAGTGTTGCTTTATTAAGATGCACGTAGAGTTCTGCCGCAACTTTGATCAGATTCATCTCTTGCATGTCACATCTGCCTCCCAAAGCCAAAGATTGGAAAAGATTTCATAATTGTAGTCCTAAAACCACTGAACGCGTGTGGCCACATTTTAAATCAGTGGCTGATTACGACATTCTAATCATAATCTGGAGCATTTCAATCTACAAAATATATTTTGGAGTAATTCATACAGGAAGGGCATTAAATTATAGAGTGGACATGTATGTTGGAGTCTTTAAACAGCTGAAATTGGGACAAATATTATGGTACAAGTGTAGAAATGCCATTTCTCCCTATTGCCTGCTGGGAGTTTCTATATGTACATATTGTGAGAGCCCCAGCCTGACTCTTCAAAGCAATATTCGCTTCCCTGTAAGTCTTTAGGTGCCCTTATCATAAGATGTGGATTTTCAACACATACTGGATATGCAGGCCTTTCGGCAAGATAAAACTGGCTTCTGATTTTTGTGATCAAATATTATATGAAAGGATTTCAAACTAGAATAATTATGGCGAGAGACAGGACTGTACGTGCAGAGCTGCATGCTTAAATATGCACATGTAGGGCTCTATAATGAGTACATTCTGGTGTTTTGCTAATGTTTACATATTTGTGTTGAACACACCTGTGTGTTTGTTTGGGACAGTGTTCAGTAACCTGTGGCGAAGGGATTCAGCAGAGGCAGGTGGTTTGCAAGACCAGCGACAACACCGCTGGAGAATGTGAGGGCGAGAAGCCAGAAACAGTCCTAATCTGCAAACTAAATCTGTGCCCAGGTGAGATCCAATTACACGTCAGCTGGAAGTGAGCTGCTGTTAGTGTTGCACGGGCTGTTAGAAACATTACAGATGCAACGTTTATGTTAATGCAAAAGAAAGTTTGGAATAGCATAAAGGAACAAAGCTAGGGGGTTATTAAGGAAAATCAGTAACCGCCCATCTTGGACTGGAGAAGTCAAATGTAATATTTAGCTCAAAACCCAGAAAGTGCTAACTTAAATCTCAGTTTGTTGTTTTTAATATACAATGTAGTGGTTTACATTAAAAAGGCAAGGCAGCTTTATTTGTAGTATAGCACATTTCATACAAAGAGGCAATTCATTACAACACATTCAAATCAACATGACCACAGAAAACAGCAGATTTGAACATCAAGATTAAAAGTACACAAATAAAATTAGATGTCAGAATAAGATAAAAAGGCTACGTTAAAGGCTGAGCAGTTACAGTGCCTTTAACGTAAACACCTGTGTGGCTTACGTGCGCAGCAGCGCGCTGGCTGGGAGCCAAACAGATTCCAACCCTGGGAGAACATCGTAGGAAAAGAGGTAAACGAGAAGGAATCTGGTGAGAATAAGACTCCTTTTAAAGCATGGGTTATCTAGTTAACATCTGTGTGATATTTTAGCTTCTTATCCTTTGTTTGGAGACCTGAGTACCACTTTTGTATTCCCGCCAGGCCGCGATGTGGCGCGGTTTCTCTGTCCAAGTTTTTTAAGGACTGTTCATCCTCTTTCTTCAGTGGTTTCTCTTCCTGTTCTCTTCATGAGTGGTTTTATAAACACAGTGGAGCTAACCCTGCTATCTTACGTCCACTAACTCCTGCTGTTTTTATAGTTTCTGATTTCTCCACCTCACTCAGCATGGCTCTATTAAATATTCACTCTGAGCAAAACCTCCCTGAACCGTCTACAGGTGGTTCAGAATGCCTCGGCCTCTGACCAAGTCTTCCAAACACACCCACATCACCCTGCTTCTCCTCCAGCTTCACTGGTTGCCAGTCAACTCCAGGGTTCATTTCAAGATCCTGGTTCTGGTCTATAGGGCCTTACATGGACAAGCACCATCTTACATTGGTGATCTTCTTAGTCCCTACACCCCCAGCAGGTCCCTGAGGTCCAGTGACCAAAGCCTACTGGCCTACTCTTTCCCCTTCCATACTTTTTTGATCACACATTTTTTTAACCTTATTTTGAACCCTCTGGAGGCTGGTGTTGCAGATTTGCAATGTTACAGAGTTACCACATATGTATTTCATGAGCATTTTTAACTCAGAAGTACCCCTGAAGGACTTAGTTGTTCGTCATTTTATCAAAACTTATTTTGAGCCTGAGAGGGTTAATCCTATTTAAAAAATATTTTTTATATTTTGAATTTTTTGTTCTTGTGAAGCGCCTCATGATTTGTATCTTGAGAGGCGGCATATAAAAGATCATTTCTTTCTTTCTTTCTTACAAAAGAAACATTCATTCAAAGGCTGATGAATACATGAACGTTTTCAGTTTTGATTTAAGTTACTAGAGCTGCGGCACATTTGAGGTCATTAGGAAGCTGATTCCATCAACGTGTTAGCTTATTTACCCATGTCACAGCAGGAGACTATTTATGGCATGTTGTTTTCACAAATGTGAATTTTTTATAGCAGTATTCAAGATTGAGGATGGATTGTAAAAAAAATTAACTCTTTTTATTTTTAGAGCATGATAGAAATTATAAGTTATAGTTGATCTAATCCCAAATATATATTTTATAACCTGCATGTGAACATATCTATACAGAAGAGTCAGAGGAAAGCTCATAATGTAGCAGCAGCCATTATTACACACACTTGCTGTGAATTCTCTGGAGATTTACTGCATGTTCCTTATTTAACTGAGTTTTTATTGTCTTTTTCTGCTTTCCATGCTTGTTTCCAAGGAGCATTTAATGCAAATGTACCAGACTATGTGCACTATAACTGAACTCTGGTCTGCTGTGGTTGTGATGTTTGATCATTGGTAATTCATCTGTTTAAAATAAGAACTTCAGTTCTACTCCTGCGGCTGTGCCAGCTGATCTTTCTGTAAAAATATTAATGAGCAGAACTTCTTCCAAATCAGATGCATCCTTCATTAATATACCTGTACTCACCTACAGTTAGAGATGTGCTTAAATACAAAAAACATTCTGCCACAACATTTATGAAATGTATCCTATTGTCTACAATTCTCTGGTGGTGCTTCTTCTGTTTTGAATGCTTGAAATTGAGTTACCCACAAAACCTTGTTCTCAGTTTAAAATATTTTTTTTTCTAAGATTTGTGAACAAAGTTACATTTAATTTGAACAGTGTTGAAGATACAATATAAAATGATCTCACAGCAAAATAATAACTAAATGTCTCAATCATGTTGGAAGGAAGGTTACATTTAGACAGAATTACTTCTCAGCCGGCTGGGGGGTTGGGGTGGGTTGTCAGGTTTTCTCCTTTAAAAAAAACTAAAGAGGGACAAAGTCTTTGTTTACAATCAGTGAGCTAGCAGGGTTGCCAAGTCTGCTCAGCGATACAGCGCTGACATTTGGAATTTGACACCAACTGACAAAATGTGTTAGTGTTTTGTAAAGAATCTAAACCAGTAACAGGAGCAATCCAGAAGTAATTTTTTGTACCCCTAAGAAGCCACGGCATATTTTATTTGACGCTAATATCGGGTGAAGCAGGCTAGAGACTAACAATGAGCTAACAATGCAGAATTAGAAACAAAAAGTCGGCTCTAAAAAAATCTCAAGCTACTTTTTCAATTATCAAAAACTCTGAGACTAGTGAAATGTGTTTATCTAGTTTTCAACTGACTGTGTATGACTCGTCTTTGCTCATCATCCAGAACTATCTGGTGCTGATCTGTAGCTGACAACAGCCATGAGACTCACGAAAAGGTAGTGAGAAAGTCACTCATTTGTTCCTTGAAAATGGGCTGCAGTATCCAACTTTGACCACAGGATGTCGCTCTTACCTCATTCTTACATAATGCACCTTTAAGGAATGATGAAAGATAATGCTGTCTACTTTTCTAGAAATCCGTGAATTTGTGCTGCGGTGCAACAAAGCTGTTCGTATCAGTATTGCTTCACAGATGCCAGAGTTCCTCGTATCTTTGTGATGAAAATAATTCCAGTTGAAAGCTCGAAGTCTGTCTTTTGACTTTATTGTGAAGTGTGTTGGTTCTGTCTGACGAGTCTCATTTGAATTCTTTATACATTCAAGTTTATTCCACAAGTCCAGCAAAAGTGAAGGCTTCGGCTTGAGGTTGACTTAAATTGTTTTGTCAACTTTGACTCGGGAAAAAACAAATGAATTTAGATAATTCACACATTCATACATTCATTTTTCATTATTCTGAAGGTTATTTTAATCTTCAGATGTACCAGGCAGAGCAGGTTTCTACCATTCTATGCAGAAACATTTCCTCAGCTTCCATGACATTTAATTTATTTTCCTGCACATGGTGCACATATGCAAGCTTTATATTGCTTTAGACCAGCAGTGGGGAACCCTGGTTCCAGCGCTTTTTCAGTGCTTTGGGCTTCCTGACAGGGTTGCGGAAGGCGCTTCATAAATAAAGCTTTGATTGATTGATTGATTGATTGATTGATTGATTGGTCCTCGAGGGCCGGTATCCTGCATGTCTTTGCGCCAACACTTCTGATTCAGTGGTTGAATCACCTGTTCAGCAGCTCATCAGGCTCTGCAGAAGCCTGTTAATCACCTGCTGATTGAAATCAGGTGTGTTGAAGCAGGGTTGAAACTAAAATATGCTGGATAGTGGCCCTCGATGGACAAGGGTTCCTCACCCCTGCTTTAGACCATACTATCGAAGATTCCTCCTTTTGCAGTTTCAGTGCATCCATCCTAATATTTTTCCCTCTCACATCTTCACCGAGTGTATTTAAAACATGTGAAAGCTGCACCAGTCAGAAAATTAAGGAGGCATATTAGCATAATAAAAGCACTTGGAGAACTGAACCTTTACTCAAATGCTGCAGAGTAAAACATTGTGCATCAGTACATTTCTATTCACTACAAATCAATTGTTCCTGAATAGGAAGGCACTTGTTTTTAGCCTGTGAATATGATTTTCTGTAAACAGGTTGACTCACTTCAGTTTTCTAAGTGCCCCTGGGCCTTTAATAAGCTCAATAGGCAGGAAAATCTTAACATGATCTTTTTAGCATGTGTGTCTAACCCCCCCCCCCCCCCCCCCCCCCCAATGATGACCTCCTATGGCTGCTGTTATTGCTTCCTCTTTCAGTACCTCAAATCAAACATTTCTTCCTGTTTTCCTGACCCAAAAAGCAATTGAGTGGAGGGTTTCGGGATCAAAAAAACCTGTAGCAGCCACTGAGTCTATTTGTGGAAAACAGCTTCTTGTTTTTGTCTTTTCTTCTTTATAATGCCCTTTTGATTGTCCTTTCCAGGATCGCCGTTTTCCCCACTCATTACCCAAACACCTGAAAATTCTTCTATGAAGGATGAAGCTGTTTACCAAAAGGTTCCTGGAAATCCAGTTCACAAAATCTCTTCCAGTAAGCTGAATTTTAATTAGTTACAGTTGAATATCAAATCTGTGTTTAAACTGTTCTGTATCCTGTTGTCACTAGACGAGCCATGCCTGGGGGATAAATCCATCTTTTGCCAGATGGAGGTCCTCGCGCGGTACTGCTCCATCCCTGGATATTACAAGCTTTGTTGTGAGTCATGCAACAAGAGAGAAGGCCTCACCACACAAGTTCCTGACCCTGAGGCCTTTGACCTCTCTCACCATGCATCACACAAGGCTTCGTGGATAGCCACCACGACCGAGACGCCGACACAAACCACTAAAGCCATCAGACGACGGCTGTTCTCCACTGCATGGGCACCGACCACAGCTGCTGCTGTTCAAGCTCCAACGGAAGCTGCTCTGCTCCAAAATCCCTCTACCAACTCCTCTCCAACTGAAGTAAAGAGAGAGTCCAACATGGAGACTTTTCTACCTCCAGGGTCATCAAAGCCCACTGCAGACTCCGATGGAGGTGCATCAAAAGAGCACAATCCAAAGAGCACTTTAGGCACATTTGCTGCCGGTTCAAGAAGGGACAACTTAGGATCAGAGAGGGACTCTAGTTACAGAAGCTCGTCGGCTCAGAAATGAACGGTGAGCGGTGCTGCGAGTGTGCTGCAGTTGGACTGTCCCAGAACTCGGCTCACTCTTTGTTTATTTTTTTGGCAGATATGTTTTTTATTATGATTATTTTCTGTATGTTGTCTCCATGCCAGTGAACCCAGACAAACCCAGTGATGGTTACCTCATCAAAACTCCAGAGCGTTTGGGAGCATTTTAATATGAAACAGGAGAAAAACAACAAAACAAAAGGTGCTGTACAGTAAAGTGACTACAAGATGTTTGAATATGTGATGACTGCATAGCTACATTCCTGTTTTTATCTGTGTACAGTTATGTAAGCCTGCTTTTATTTCAAGTGCTTTAGAACTACTATTGAACTTGGATTGTGAACATGGAGGTGATCACTGAACACTCTTTGGTGTGGCACCAGACAGATTATTGACCCTGTTCAGTTCAGAATATTATAATTGATCAAATTAAATTAATTAAAAATGAGTCTACTCTAAAATAAATCTGGCATCATCCTTACATCCTCTTAAACAGAATTACAAAGAATTGTCTGTAAAACATCCAATAATCTGTCAATCAGCTGAAAACTAGAAAGGCACAAAAAAAACGATCGTATTAGATATTTATAATTGTCCCATTAACACTTGAGTCTGGACAAGTATTTTAGAGTTTGTGTAATTTTTTTTGGTGCACTTAAAACATTACAAAAAAAAACGATAAATGAGTTAAATTTTAAAGGCTTTTCTGTCGTGAGATCTTAAAGACCTTTGACCTGTTTTATTTATTTGTTTAGTTAAAGTCTCCATTTGACAGATAATGCCATGGCAGAATGCTAAGAGGACATTTTCTGTTTCTTTACAGAAAATTATCATGTTGTAGCTCTAAAATAAACGAGAAACAAATGAAAAGGTGCAATAAAGCCTAAAATTTAAGAAAAAAACTGAGAAATAAAAGGTTTGATGAGACTAAAGGCTTTTGATGAGTAGAAATAACATAATTTACACATCATTTTAATTAATAAGGTGACCAGTACGGACACATTTTGTTTGGCGTAAGAAAGAAGAACAAGCTGCATTCATGTCATTTTGCCATCATTTGGCCACTTATTGAATGAATGTTCACAGAGAGACAGCTGTTCGGTCAATAATGTTGTCTAGTGGCACGCCAAAGATTGAAACGGTCATCACTCCTGGCAGGGAGCCTTGTGGTTTCTCTGTTTCCGTTACTTTTTTTTTTTAATCCAACACAACAGTGGTATAAGAAGTCTGTTTGCAAGCTAACCCCTGATGTACTGTAGCATCTCCTTCATCTCTACGTGGTTGAGTCTGTCACCCAACAGTATAAAAACTGGAAAAAAAGTCTAACAGAACGTGCTATGATATTTTTGTAACTCCTTCAGATCTCAGATCATGTAAATAGTGTAAATTTCACGTTATGAAAGTCGTATGTTGCAGCTGGAAAATACGGTGTGCCTGGTCGGGCTGCTTGAGGCTTCATATTTCCATCATGTTCATTGTATAGTTCCTGTATATACATGAATGAAAGCTTTAAATGGTATTTATTGAATTTCTAAGTTGTGTGATGAGTGAAGTAAACTACAGTGTACAGAAAAAAACATTCTTGTTGTTTTAACCTTCCTCCATTAAGCTTTTACTGTTGTTTTAAAAAGAAATGGTTTCTTTTGCAATTTCAGGACAGAATTTTTTTTTAGATTAAGTTTCCTTGAATTATTGCCTCCATTACAAGCACAGGTTCAGTCAAATTCAAACCGTTTTATCAGCACAAATGTAGATAAAGCAGTAAACATGTACACACTCAAGCACTTTATTCAATGTATCCAGTTGTTTGCAGGGCGTCGTGCATCAAGAGACAAGTGATGGCTCTGAAACAGGAAATGAGGTTTACATGACACGTGACATTAATTCCTATTGTAAGCCAGCTTCCTTCTGCCAGGCTGGCGCTGGTCTCCGGCAGCTCTCTCTCCAAATGGTGCAGCCGGTCTGTCACCAAGAGCTCCGTCTCCCAGTGCTCCTCCGTCAGTGATGACTAAGTGGTGCTGCTGCTGCAGCACGGCTGCCATGAAGACTCGGTCATCTCAGGCTGAAATGCCTGCGGAGGTGTTGTGTGAAATCCAGCTGTGCTCGAGGCAGAGCCTGATTGACGATGGACTTAGGCAGCCAGCCCTGCAAGAAAAATGTTACCTTTATTAGAGCCTGGGATTGAGCGTTTGTCAACAATAGAACACTCATTTCCTGCATGTTTTATTTGACTTGTCATTGAAAAGTAAACATGCTTCTTCAAAGGTAGAATGGGTTAAGAAAATAGATAGCAACATTTTACAAGACGCAGGTTTTTAGGTTTTGCACCAATCAGCTTGAACAAATTCTTATAATTTAGCATCATCCTGGGGTTTCTTGAATGCAATGTTCTGTCTTCACATATGTTCTGTGTGCGGAGAGGAATGATTATTGCTCAAGACCAATTTTTAAGTGTTTTAAACGTGATTAAACGGCATGTCTGCTCCCCCAGCATCCTTGGCCCCCTCTCTCCTGATTCCATATCTCAGTCACCAGATGACGTGATAGCACGTTCTTATCCTGTAAACATTTCTTATCTCAAAAATGTGTGTTCCACATCGAATCAGAGGGATATGAGGCATCTAGGTTTGTTGTGGGAGAGTTTGAACAAGGTGGATGAACTTTACCCCTGCAGGATGTTACAAGTCATGCTTTCATGAGGAAATCTGTCATAGAATTAATCTATAATCGTCCAAACTTAACCTCACTGATCATTTTATGGTTTCTGAGTTACTAAAAAAAGTATAAACATGTTTACTAGAAATTTATGACAATCGGTGAGAAGAACTTGGGACATTTCTATTCAAACCAAGTCTCTTTCACGTTTATGTACAAAAACTGAACTATTCCTGTAAGGACGCTGGTCACGTTACAGCTTTTATATTTAGTGACAAAATAAAAAAGGTCATGAAAATACCTTCACGTCCATGTTAAGAAGCCATGTGAAGCTGCTCTTTGTTGCATCCAGAGGTTTGATGATGATGCAGGTTGGCCCATCTTCAGCTCTGTGTGGATCCCAAAATATAACGTAAAAAAGGAAAAGTTCATTAATTTTAGAGTTAAATGAAGTTTTAATGACTTTTGTTCATAGTCCCTGTAGTTTCTCTTTCTCATTAGTATTATTCTTATTAGTACAAATATTTTCGCACGTGTTACAAATTATATTACATAAAATAAATGAATCAATATTTATACATGATGATTATTGATACGTTTAAATGGTTATTGACCATACAGTATGAACACAATAAAGTCATTAGAATCTGTAATAAACCTTTAACCCTCCCACTGTCTTTATGGGTGACCCCGCGAGGTCACTCCTCACCCCTGCCACATGGACCTCAAGGGATAAACCATCAATCCTGCTCAATGGTCAACTTTCCTCACGGGGTCACACCCATTACAACAGTGGGAGGGTTAAGACGAGCTATGTCAGCAGAAACTAAAGGATTGTAAGGTCAATATCAAACTTTTAATTTAGTTGTCAACTCATGGTCTGAATAGCTGTCGTTGCACACTCTGTGTGGAAACATGGAGGATTTATTGAGCTCATGACTAATTCAGAGCTGATCCCATACCTCACAAAGCCTGCCTGAGGTGGGAATGAGTCCAGATGAATCGCTGCTCCTCCAAGATAGACCCCAGATTTCTGTCTGCAGCTGTGTCTGACGCTCAGGAAGTCCCTCTGTCCAATCAGATTCCCTGCTGTCCCGGCCGAAACCTCATGAGTCACAACCGTGTCTGGTCCAACTTGCTTCAGAACCTACCAATCAAAGGAACACTATTTGGAGTCAGGTTTGACCGACTTTAGGATTGATGCAGCTTCAGCATCTCAAATGAGCTTCTGGAGCAGCCTGAGAACATGTCGATTAAACTTGAATCACTGCCAGACTTGAGTGAATTTCCTGTTATCAGAAATCTGTGCAAAGCTGTAACATCTGACATGACACAAGAAAAAGTACCTTCACCAGCGTTAATGCTAATTTAACTGGTTTGAAAGTCAAACTCACTTTGATGTGTTGTACACTTGGGTTCCACCGGGGCATCTCCTCAACTCTGACAAACAGGAGGTCATAGAGGTCATCCACACTGGCCTCCAAAACTGCCTCCAGTCTGAAGACCTTTCCAGACCCAGGTACCACTTTGCTGCAGATCATATCTCCATTGTTCTAAAGAAAAGAATAAAACATAATAGTTGCACAAGAGTAACCCGCGTTTGTTTATTAATCATATGTGAAATATTAAAAACTCAAAAAGAGTGGAATGTTCGTGTCACCTCTTTGATCTCCACCTTCCACCCTTCACTATCCTCCAACATGCAGAGAGCTTTCCTCATTGCTTCTCGGCCGTGTCGAACGTAAAACAGCTGATCTTCCTCTGCAGACCTCACGTTTTCTTGTTTGGGATCTGCAAGCGACTCCAGTTAGTTAAACTATGCTTTAAAAACATTTTACAGCTGGAAAACAACTTTTTTACTCACTTGCATGTGTTCTGGTGTGATGCTGGATTTGTCCCCATCGCTTCAGGTGTGTGATCTCCTGGCCTATCACTGCCACAGCCGTGCGCTGAAGTCCTGCATACCAGAAAAACATCTCTTTAAGAATGGAGCATCCACATCAAGAAAGAGCAAGACTCTCAAATCAGATTGTTCACTTGAGTTTACCTGACATACTCCTGAGATGTGGGTAGGAGATTCCACAGCAGAGCTTCACCACAGCAGGCAGCATGTTCGACAGTGACAGCAAAGTACAGTGAAATGCGCTCACATCTTTATACAGCTGGCCAAGGACACTCCAAAGTGATAAGAACCAGAGAGAGGGAGGAAAAAAAGATTGAAGTAGTTCTGGATTCTGTCCTGAAGGCCACGCTTGACAAGAGTTTTAATAACCAAAACAAACGATTGGATTCAAGGCAGGGAGAAAAGGCTGTACAAAAGACATGCAGTGAGCTGATTATTCATGGGCTTTTCTATGAATTAAGTATTATTAGCACATGTGCAAACACTGGTGTGCATATTTATTTCTACAGCTCAAGCGTGTGCAGCGTGTTCAAATGCAGCACATCTAATCTGCTGTTAGCAGGTGCTAGCTAAATCATGGAGGGAAGCCTCTTAGTGTTGCAGAAAAATGACTTTTTGCAGGACATTTGCATTAGCAGGGCCTCAGTGGTTTAGCTGGGAATGTTTCAAAATTTGCAAGTTCTGCTATGATGGAAAATTTGCTGTGTAATGATGGAATATGACATATGAATGTGAAAAAATCCTAGTAGAAAGATGTCCTCAACTCTAAAAACAAGCATCAAAAATCTTTCAGCAGCAGTTTGTGCAAAAATAATCTGTAGAGGCTTGGAGGAAATTTGACTTTTCCATTCATTTTTGTTCCATCAAGCTAGTAGGCATGTTGTGTTGCACAAAAAAAACTTTAAATCACATATGTATTAAATTAATACTATTAACTAAGCTGGTTACATATTTGAAACTTTGCTGCAAAGTGACAGTCACCACTGGGATGTAATCCAATTATTTCAGCGCTCAGACTGTGATGAGGATTACATCAAACTCACACCAAATCAAATTTTACATAAGTGTCTGTAATTCCTTCAGCTGGTAAATCAAGTTGACTCAAATCCATCATTAGCTGTAAATGTTTATCCAAGTAATTCCCTCCGATTATTTAATGTTATTCAATCCTTCTCTATCTGTCCATCCATCCATTCTCTTCCGCTTATCTGGGGTCGGGTCACGGGAGCAGCAGCCTAAGCAGGGAGGCCCAGACATCCCTCTCACCAGCCACTTAGACCAGTTCCTTCATGGGAATCCCAAGGCCTTCCCTGGCCAATCGAGAGACATACTCCCTCCAGCGTGTCCTGGGTCTTCATTACGGTCTTCTCCCAATTGGACGTACCTGGAAAACCTCACCAGGGAGGTGTCCAAGAGGCATCCTAACATGTTGCCCGAGTCACCTCAACTGGCTTCTCTCGATGTGGAGGAGCAGCAGGTCTACAATGATTCCCCCCTGGATGACCGAGCTTTTCACCCTATCTCTAAGAGAAAACTCATTTCGGCCACTTGTATCCGCAATCTCATTCTTTTGGTCACTACCCAAAGCTTGTGACCATAGGTGAGGGTAGAATCAGAATCAGAATCAGAAAACTTTATTGGTCCCCATGGGGCAATTAATTTCGTAACGTAGATCGACTAGTAAATCGAGACTTCAGTCTTCCAGCTCAGCTCTCTGTTCACCATGACAGATCGGTACAACGCCCACATCACTGCAGACACAGCACCAATCCGCCTGTCGATCTCGCACTCCACCTTTCCCTCATTTGTAAACTTGAGCCTGAGCTACTCTAACTCCTCTACTCTACCCTGGGCAGGACTTCATCCCTGACCTGGACAGGGCATTCTACCCTTTTCTAACCCAAGACGATGGTCTCGGGTTTAGAAGAGCTGATTCTCATCCCAGCTGCTTCATACTCGGCTGTGAACTGCTCCAATGAGAGCCGGAGATCACGTTCTGATGAAGCCAACAGGACCACATCATCTGCAAAAACAGAGACTCAATCTTTAGGCCACCAAAAAAGATCCCCTCAACACCTTGGCTTCACCTAAATATCCTGTCCGTAAAAGTTATGAACAGAATCTGCGACAAAGGGAAGCCTTGGCGGAGTTAATCTCTCACCAGAATTGAACCCGACTTACTGCCATCAATGCGGTCCAAGCTCTGACACCGGTCATACAGGGACCTAACAGCCCGTATCAGAGGGCCTGGTACCCCACATCCTTGTAGTACCCCCCACAGAGCCTCCTGAGGAACGTTGTAGAATGCCTTCTCCAAATCCACAAAACACATGTAGATTGGTTGGGCCAACTCCCACGCACCCTCCATGACCCCGCTAGGATATAGAGTTAGTCCAGTGTTCCACGGCCAGGATGAAAACCACATTGTTCCTCCTGAATCTGAGGTTCGACCATCCAATGGACCCTCCTCTCTAGAACCTCTGAATAGATGTACCAAGGAGACTCAGGAGTGTGATCCCTCTGTCAGTGTCAGTCTTGCTTAAGATTGCTTTAAAGACACTAGTCAGCGATTTGATGCATTGAGCTGGGTTCCTCATATAGGAAACTTTTTACTGATTGGCTTAATGAACTGACCTGTATTGGAACGTTTACTGGGTGAAGTGCCTTGAGACGACTTGTCGGGATTTGGCGCTATATAAATAAACTTGAATTGAATTTAATCAATGGGAACACACACATTCCTTATTCTGTTCTATTTTCATTAGCAACCATTCCCTGTTTTTGCGCAGATACAGCAATGTTTGCTTTTTTCGTGAATTTAAACACTAAGTGACTTCTGTTTTAATCACTTATCAACTTCTCGAACCAGTCCATGTTTTGGAGGATTTTTTTCAGGTTGCATTGTTTACTCATGTTGAATTTTAATCTCTTTTCTTTTGCTTATCTCAGTATTATGTCTTTGTGTGGGTATGCATATTAGCTGAAGAGAAAATCTTCTAGGTTGTACTTGTATTTTGGAGGACCCCACTTTGTCTGGGTGTATGTGGGTGTGTGTTTGTGTGTGTGAGAGAGAGTGAAAATGGTCACTGTCATATAAATAGAATAATTGGTAAAGAGTATAAACCGTATTCTTGTCTCAACGCTGCCTTGCAGAAAGTTGCTGATAGAGTTCTGGCGAACAGCTGCCTCTTATCGCCGAGAGCCAACAGGTGTCCTTGTGAGAAGGATTTGTGACGTAAAAGCTGAACTTCACCTGCTGACCTGTCCAGCTAAAATCTAACTGGGGTCACATTGTTGGGTAAGAGCTCATTTGCAAATAATACAGATGACTTTCTGAGTTCTCACAACTGGCTTATTATTTTGTTTATTTCATAATTCAGTGTTGAGTTTAGCTTCCTTCTGCAACACAAAATCTGTTTAAACTGCATTATAGGTTTTAACACTATGGTCCATATTTAGAAAGAGAAAAAGGTTAATTGCAAACAAATGAATTGTTTGTAGTTCTTTTTCCTCATACTAAAATAAACAAGAGAACAAGGGAGAAAATTGTGTGTGAAAAGTGTTTTAGTTTCAGAGAAGCACAATGAGTCAAAGCTCCTGAAGCAAAGGAAATAATTTAGTTCCTGCGAATCTTTCTTTTTTTCTAGTTTTTCCAAATTTGATGGCAAAAAAACAAACATTATGTCATGTAATGCTAATCATTTATGTTGATAAAATGACTTAATTTTACAAACCATGAATAAAATCAGTGGCTTTATGAATCTAAATCTTGTGCTTGGATTTATTCTGTTACTTTGGTTCGGTACATTTCCGATTTGGATTTAGTTTTTGGTGTTTAGCTGCAGGAAATGTGAGAAGCACCACTCGTCCCATACAATTATTCAAGTGATGAAGTATTTGCCAGATTATATAGTGGTATAGATAGACCAGACTGGGGGGAAAGATGTCTTTGAGGTTTTTTCTAGTGTTTTGAGGTTGTTTCACTTGAAAATTCACTTAATATTTTATCCTGACTGTCTTGGTAAATCTGAAATGTTCCCAATACCTAAAGCCTAGCTCACACTGTGCATGTTGCTGCCATTTTAAATGACTGCTTCATGTGACACAAGATCTAGGGAGATGGCTGGTCACCCTTTATCTCACAACTCTGTTCACGAGAGATTTTTCTACAACACAGTGTGAACCAAACTTTTAGTATTTTTCTTTCTTGATTTTGTGGTGGTTGTAAACTTTTCTAATAACTTTTAATCATTTATACGAGGTATACGTTTTCCAAGTAGATTTAAAGGGAGACTAGGCAGTTTTGGCTTTCTTTTAGCACCCTCTAGTGTCCCTTAGTAGAACTGAAAGCAAAACGTATCTCCTCGCTGTGAGTTTGTCTTTTTAACACCTTAATCTAACAGCTGAAATGTCTTCCCAGCCTTCCTTAGTGTCTACAGGAGTGATTCATCACTAAATTTAACACATCAACTGTGTACATGATCTAAAACATGCCGGAAGCAGACTGCAGCGCCAGGTATGTCAGCTCCATTTTTTCTAATTCCAACTGACCTGACCGGAGCTCTGAAGTTGCAAGTGCAATATTCTGGTCACGGGGGTCACATACTGGTTCAAGAGCATTGTTTAAAAATAAGAAAATGTTTTATAGTGTCTCTTTAACTTCAGCAACAGTTAATGATCATTTTTCTGGTCTGATTTTCCTATGAAAGTCTATGGAAGCCATTCTATCCATGTGAATATATAGTCTGGTCATGACCAGAAAGATCTCGATTGTTCTGAATCTACGGTTGTCTTTAAAACGGTCTCTGTGTGCTATTAGACAAGAACAATGTGACGTACACACCAAAACACTGACAATCCTACAACTCTCCAACATGTGCTTCCTTTGGTCACATGTTTGAAGGCGTGCGTTTGTGTGAAACTGCCAGAGGGGACAAGTCAAGGCTGCTCTGTTGAATAGATGAAACCAGAGGCCACCTCCTTTGTTCAGTGTGGGTTTTCATGTTTCATACAAATAGCTTATTTCACCTCTCTCCCAAACAATCTGTCTATTCTGTCCAAAATTAGTTAATTTGTCATCTTCAAAAGAGTGACCTTTGCCCTCTAGGAGTAGATGCTTTGCTAAGTCTTGGCCTGATGAGCTGGCTCTTCTGTGCTGTGTCACTCTTTCGTGTAGCTGCTTTCTTCTCAAACGTAGAGGTCTGAACATTCATCCCCACACTGGACTGCATTTCCCACACGAGTGTTTTGTCCTTGAAGTGAACCAGTCACCATCTGAAATTGTTATTAAAATTTAAATGCATCAGAAAGTTAGAAGAAAAATACCATCTTAAAGCTACAATGGCAAATCTGCAAA